ATGGTCTTGTCTTCTTCTACTTTCAAGCTTACCCAATAATTTTCGAAGGTTAGTTCCTTTTTTCTGGTCATAATACGTGTTTTGCTGACTTGGCAGGTGTCTACGGATTCGATGTACAGATGACCTCTCTTGCTTTTCTCCCTGGTACGTACATCGCCACCTCTCTCTGAGCCATGCTAATAGAGATAGTCGGCGTCGGTGCAGCCTCCACCAGTCTCGTCGCCCTCTACTGGGATATGACCTACGACAAAGCCAAGAAACACAACAAACCATGGCGCTTCGGCGCAGAACTCCACCGACTCCCTATCTCCTGTCTCGGCGCCGTCCTCCTCACAGCCAGCTCGTTCTGGCTCGCCTGGACCTCCCGAGCACAAGTCCACTGGGCAGTTCCCGTCGCCTCCGGTGTCGTGTTTGGGTTCGGTTACCAGACCATCTTCGTCTCGCTGTTGACATACGTGACCGATGCTTACAAGATATACTCTGCCAGCGCACTAGCCAGCTCGGTCATTCTGCGCAGTGTTCTCGGGGCGCTGCTGCCGCTGGCTGCTAAGCCGATGTACGGGACGTTGGGGGTGAGTTGGGCGACCTCGCTGGTTGGGTTTCTGAGTTTGGCGTGTGTGCCCATTCCGTTTGTGCTCTTGTACAAAGGGGACTGGATAAGAGAGAGGAGTAAATTCTGTCAGCAGCTAATGAAGCAGGAGTGGTCCAAGGCCAGTTCGGATACAGAGCGCGGAATACAGGGTTGAGGCGGGATAATGGTGCGGTATAATGACTTATGAAACGAACCTACTTAGACATTAACAGTTTTAGTATAATTTCGGTTATAGAATATGATGTTTGAAAACCTCGAACGGCCCAATCCAAAAGCTCAGGCTCTCATATCATGGAGAACCATGCCATTGTAGTAGGAAGGGAAATACATCATAAGCGAGATCACTCTCCGAAATATAGTGGTCTTCAGTCAAGCCTCTTGCCCAATTCATGCAGACATGTCTCTGTGAGCTCCTGTAAAGTCTGCCATCATGATGCCCTCATTGTCATGGCGCGCATATAAATTCGAGCTTAAAACCTGCGCACGTCGGTAATACTGTATGAATGTGCTAGGTTGATACAGATCAGTCAAAACGAGGCTATACGATATATTACACATCGCTAGAATATGGTATAATAAGATGGCTTGTTGCAGCTGGCACTGTTCCACAAATTAAGCTTATCTCGACCGTAGTAGGGTCCACAGAGCCTTGTGGCTTGTCGATTTGAACCGGAACATTTGCGTATTTTGAAGTTTCCAGTAAAATAACGGATAACCATAGCCGTCCTTCTGAAAGCAACATCAAATTTACTTGACTTGTATAGAGCTCTATTCAGTGAGCGATGGCTATTACCGGACCACCATGTGATGCCGCCAGGTGTCACATCAGAATGCGGATGACTCACTCGACATCAACCCATGTATATATGAAGAAACAATTCCAGTGACCAAAAGAAATAAGGCTACCCACATTCAAATGTCCACCCGCTCATTTCCAATACCTTACCCCGAGCAAGCCGTTGCAGTAATTATTCCCGAGGAGGTACCACCCAGATCCACCGAACGCCTCCTCCTCCGGCCCCTGCGAATCGGCAACGACGAAGATGCCGCGGGAATCTTCAGTGTCAGAAGCCGACAAGATGTCGTGGACTGGCTGTGAGAAACCTATTCTGCGATGACGTCCTCAAGCTAACTTGCCACAGTTGGCCCAGAGTGGCAGATACCACAATCGAAGAAACCAAAGCCCACACGACGAGAAAGGTGTTCGAAGACCCAGACGCATCCGGTGCAGTTGGGCGGTTATTCTTCTTTGTCATTATTCCTAAAGATGACCCGGAGCGTATCATCGGGTCTCTCGGTGTTAACTCTCTATCGCCTGCTCCCTCTGTGGGATACGCCATGCATCCCTCGTACTGGGGGAGGGGATATGCCAGCGAAGCCTTACGGGGCGTGATCGACGCATGGTGGAAACTGCCACGAGTCGATGGCCTGGGACCCGAGGAGAAATTGTTCGCGGCGGTCAATTTGGCTAATAAAGGGAGTGTGAAGGTTTTGCAGCGGAATGGGTTCAAACCTTACGAGGAGGTCGTGCTTGAGGGGGACACGGTGGCTTTTATGGAGCTGGAGAGTCCTCGTCGAGCGGATACTCGACCTGGAACGAAGGATGATCATATCTAATAGAGCCGATTCATCATGTATGAGTCCTTGAGATCCCGAGACTAAATCCAATGTCAGACATGCAAGTGTACTATTTAGTGACCCTAGGCTGATCCTGACGGCATAGCTTATCTCTGTCGCAAATTCTATATTTTGAAGAGAAGACTCAAGAGGGCATAGAGATGCGAAGAATCCGGGACTTCTTCCCGCGCCAATCGCACAAAATCAAGTTGTGTATCGATTGCTAGTAATAGTATCTATGAGAAGGAAGCATCGGTGTCATCCTTCCAATCGAGTGTATGATTGATAGAGAGGAACCCCTTGCAGTGTGCATCACATCAGGTATGTTTCCATCTTCTATCGTTATATGGCTATATCTCAAGCTCAGTCCCTCGCTGATGCCTATTGACCTAACAGATGGTTTGAGTGGTCAAGTTGTACTACCAAATATACAATCTATCAAAGGTTGCTATACTTGAATAGGCTCAAATCATACAAAAGGGGCAGACCTGCGCTGGTGACCGTTGAATATAGCTAGTTGACTCCTACAAGCATGCAAGGACTAGACCATGTATGTCATAGAGCATCAGGCAGAGACTGCAGTGTGACCAGCTGGCCGGTCTAGACAATTACCAAGAGCCTGGATGCACAGCTTCCAATATCTCGGATTGTATGCTACTTATAGAATTGTGGAGTCAGATGCATGGTTCATGCATACTGTGCACAGAAAACTGTAAGGACTGAATCAGACATATCTTCTCTCACTGCCTGTCCAAGAATCACTTGTTGGATCCATGTTTTTGCTTGTTTTTGACAGGCTTCCTCTTTGAACATTCATCCCATGTCTATGCTGCCTTGCGCTTACCCATGAGTCAATACATTGGCTTATTGCAGACACCTACGTACTATAGTATTAATTATGAGGTCCTGATCACTTCAACTCGAGTCAGGGTCTCCTCATCCAGATCCACACCGCTAATAGTCCTTCCCAGGAAAGCTCGTATTAGGCCCCAGTTGTCATCGTCATTGGTCATCCATTCGCTTATATACGAGCACTGCACCGCACCAATCTTTTGAATTCTTGGACGTCCAACGAGACACTCAGTAAGACATTTCGAACGATACCGATGCTGGCTTGCGGGCTGAGCCAGGGATTCAATCAGGTGATCGAAGCCACGCTTTCGGTCAACTCATGATGAGGGTTATTCTAGACCAAGGGACCTAACAAGTGCCGTAATTGCCGTCCTATAATCAATGCACTCCTGTCTGATGCAAGGCTCTCACAGATCTTGCCAAGACGGTTGTAAGACATGGCAGTCTGACAGCGCGATTAGGCTACCCGGTTGGAGCTCCTCGATCAATCATCTGAGACAAGTCGAAGTCTACAGCTCGTGCACGACATCAGACCCGGTTTCCCATGGTAATCTCGTACTTATTACAGAACCTCGTCTTGATTTGGATGATTCTCGCGGAGGCTATCAGCTTCGATGTATGCTGTGTCACACTATGACCAAAGCTTTGGACGCCACAATCCCTCGCTGTCGACTCGAACTTGAATGCCTCGAGGTGCACTACACCGGCTGAGCTGCCAACGGCCATCCCATAGACATAAATAGTCGTCTTCATCCGGTCCACTGGTCCGATAACAAGCCCAACTTCTGAAATCAAACACTGACCATCCTACCAAATCACTACCATCTCAACCACAATGTTCAAGTCCGTTGTTCTTCTCAGCCTTCTTCTAGCCGCAGCCAGTGCCGCTCCCACCCCCACCGAGGACCTCGTCCCTCGATCCTGTGGCACGCTGGGCCCATCCGTCATCGATGTCCTAAGAGTCTCAACGCCAGACAACGCCTCCCCCGGCCAGCAGTTCACTCTCAGCCGCGCCGGCATTCCCCCGTATAACACGCAGATCTCCGCGCTGACATTCAACTACATCCCCGCCAACGCAACAGGCTGCATGCTGGAAATCGACATCCCACCGCTCGCTCAAGCCAACCAGATCGCCGAGGGCGCCACCCAGGTCGACATCTGGACTACTGACCCCTGGGACTGGTACTCGCTGCCTACGTACAACAAGCCCCCGAAGAAGAGGGAGATGGTCGGCACGTACATCTTCCCGACGCAGCCGACGACGGCGGAATCCAAGACCATCATTGCCTCGAATACATGCTCGGATCCCATGAGCTTCCTGGTGGAGCTGAGTGGGTGGCAGAGTCAGAGTGGCAGAGTCAACTTTTATAATACTCTGGGTGGAAAGCAGGGGATTGTGCCTATTGGGTTCAGGATGATCTTTAACTGTTGATCTTGTCATGTATTCCGTCGGCCTGTCAGATGCGAGTCGGGGAGATGATGGGATTATGACCGACTAGACACCACCAATCAGCAGTGCTCTATAGGTATAGAAATTGGAATTATGTTAAGTCAATTCTGATGGTCCCATCTGTTGTAATCCAAGAATCTGGGCCCACCAGGCCAGCATTGCCTGATGCGTATCTTGCTTCGAGTTACGTTAGACCGCCCACCTTGACATCATCATCCTGATGTCATCCTATCTTCTATACAAATCAAGATCAAGCAAATTGATATATCTTGACGACCACCAAGGGCAGGGATCAAAATGGACTGTATATCCAGAACCGTAGCCTTTCAATTACGGCCAAATTTACCTCTCCGTATACATTTTTGTCGCTGCTCAACGCGGAGCTTCTCAGTCCTCACCAGCCACCAACCGAGGATTCCGAACATCAAACCAAACCTTACCAAGAGACAAATCCTTAGAAAATACTCACTCACTTCAACCGAAGGAAACATGAGAATCGCAATTACTGGTGCTCGTGGCTCTGTTGGCCGAGACGTGGTCAAGCTTTGCGCGGATGCCGGCCACTCCACAGTGCAGATCAACCGCACCGACACCGACTATGACGGCACGCCCCGCTCGGAAATGGCGACGGCGGACGTTGCCAACGACTATGACGCCTGCCTCAAAGCATTCAAGAACTGCGATGCCGTCATCCATCTTGCGTCGATCCCCGACCCTGTCGATAAGCCAGATCACAGGGTCCACAACAACAACGTCAACTCTGCATTCAACTGCTTCCGCGCCGCGGCTGAACTAGGCATCAAGCGATTCTGCTATGCTTCGTCGGTGAACGCCGTGGGACTGGCGTATGCAAACCAGCCACTCAAATTCGACTACTTCCCCGTTGATGAAGACGCACCGCAGCGGCCAACAGATTCCTATGCGCTGGCTAAGCAGGAGGCCGAGATCCAGGCACGCTCGTTCGCGACATGGTTCCCTGGAATGAAGATCGCGTGTCTGCGTATTCACGAGGTCGCTCCCCTCAAGGACGTGCAGAAGGAGCACCAGGAAGACTGGGAGAATGCCGCTGTTAAGCAGTTATGGGGTTGGGTGAACCCTCGGGCGACAGCGAGGGCGTGTCTGCTGGCCGTGGAACGGAGCGATAACTTTGAGGGATGTCAGGTCTTCAACATCGTGACACCGACTACCACCCAAGACACACCCTCGGAGGAGTTGGCCAAGAAGTATTATCCCGGAGCTGAAATTCGAGGCGATATGTCCAAGAATCAGAGCTTTTTTGCCGTTGACAAGGCACAGAGAATTCTTGGATGGACTCATGATGAGAAGGAGTGAACTGTAACTAAATAAATGATGTGACATGATAAAATCCACTGTAAATAGGCAGCCATAATTGCATGTAGGTTATGATACTGAGTGAATGGACAATGGAGTAATGAGTTGCTTTTGGGCCATGGTTCGCTGGTCTATTGTGTTTGGGTCGTAGAACAGCGCACTAGGCACATAATAAGTCCCTGCCCTTGGTTGCTTCTGGTCAAGCCAGCCCAAGATCCATCCCTCCCGCAAGACGCATAGCCCTCTCAGTTCTGGCATTCACCTTCAAACAGCATGATGCGAGATTCGCCTCGATCAAAGGATACATACCGTGGTACTTTCTGAACAATGCCTCGGACGCCTTGACCAACTAGCCGAGATCTTATCACTTAAAGTAGAATGATTAGATAGTGACATCGATTGATAAAAACAGAGAAATCTGCCGGAGCGACTCCATCAATATGCTAGAATGCGGGATGGCCGTATCAACTTGAGAAGAGCGAGTCTCCACTTCACTCTCGAGATCCTCTTTCAAATCGACGAATATCCACGAGCGAACAGGAGAGGTAATTCGGTCGCCGACTCGGTTAACGACGAAGTCCCAGGTTGAGATGGCCATGATAATGCGGTAGCCTCCGGAGAGACTCGAATATGATAATGTCTCGGCCAAGCAGCTCTCGGCTGAGGCAACCAAATTATTGCCTGATCCTGTCTGAGACATTCAAGGCTTGCCACGGGGAACACCATGATGAAGACAATCCTGAGAGCTCTGTAGAACATTCTTTGGAATATCCATGAGCACATATCGGACGAGAAACGTCACCCGGCCGAGTCTCGGATGTACTCGGCCGATACAGTCATGGTTGTTTCAGTTGACAAAGAAGATCAGCCATTTGCAGGTGCAGCTTGCAAGTGGTAGAGAGTCTGAAATAATTGAAACAAGCAGACATAGAGAGAAATATTGTGATACAATTCTCCAGACTGTAGAGTTGCTGAGAAGCAAGAATGAAGGAGGAAGAGTCTGGAGAGTGTTAAGATGGGAAAGCTGGAGACTGTGGGGATTAACGTTCACGTGACACTCATGATTCAGCCAATCAGAGGTTAAATTCTATGGAGATAGCCTGATGCGGATCGAGAACAAGGTAACTATCCATAAGACTTGTTATTGCTTCGCTCTAACTCAAATTATTCTATTGTTCCATAACCTAGTATCATACAATGTAACAAATCCAGGCTATTGGATCCAGCCCTTGGGACCGCCCCAGGTTCCCTTCACCATGTAGTTGTAATAGACCCAGGGGAAGAAGTCTTTCTTCAGGTGGTAGAATGCACGGCGAGGAGTCGCCTGGTCGATGCCCAGCAAGTTACCAAACGTCTCCTTGGGTTCCCCCGCGTACTTGAACTCCGCCAGAAGGACCTTGCCGTACTCGGTCAGCAGTGGACACGAGGTGTAACCGTCGTATGAGGCGTCGAGCTCCTTGCCCTCCATGGTTCTCAGCAGGTTGCTGACGAGCACGGGTGCCTGTGCCGTGATCGCGGCCGCCGTCTTGGATGTGGGGAGACTGGACGCATCACCGGCCGACCAGACATTGCCGTACTTCTTGTGACGAGTGGTGTTGTCGTCGACATCGACGAAACCGGCCTCATTGGCGAGAGGGCTGTTCTTGACAAACGCATGCGCTCCCATCTTGGGCACGACATGTAGGAAATCGAACCGTCTGGTCACCTGCTCCTGTCCGTCCAGACGCTTGAAAGTCGCCTTGTCGCCATCGATGGAGACGAGATCGTACTGGAACAGTCCTTCCACCTGTCTCTCCTTGCGCAGCTCCTCCAGCTTGGCGCTGTATTTGGGCACACCGAACATTCCGGGAAGAGCTGTAGCAAAGCTAATCTGGATTGCTCCATTCGCGGAATTGCTGGGGTTGTAGAGACCGGCACGCTTCCAATAGTCTAGTGCGAGCCACATGACCTTCTGGGGAGCGCCTGCGCACTTGATCACGCCAGCCGGCTGGGTGAAAATGGCGGTACCTTTCCGCAGTTTTTCGATAGTGCTGTAGGCCTTGTCGCAGCTGTCATAGCCGTAGATGGACGAAACGAGCGAGTTCGAATCTGCGAGAGCCTCAGGCAGACCCTTGATGCTGTTGAAGTCGACCTTGATACCGGGGGCAACGACCAAGTGCTCATAGCTGACCTTGTCGCCATTGGCGAGCGTGATGAAGTTGTTTTCGGGAGAAAATGTGTGCACACTGTCGTTGTAGAACCTGAGCTTGGGATCAAGCAGGCTGTTGAGGGGTTGTCGCAGATCCTCCTTGTTCTTGAGACCACCACCAACCAGAGTCCATCCGGGTTGATAATGATGCCAGATAGCGGGGTCGACCACCGCAATGTCGTCTTGAGAGAACTTTCCGGTGCGAAGCAACTGATGACTGACAGTGAGACCAGCGCTACCACCACCAACCACGACTACTCTGTGATTGCGTGCAGTGCCTACTGCAGCTGTCGCAAAACCCCGCGTTACCATTGAGGCATTCTGTGCTGCAAGTACTGAGCGAGAAGCAGCAGCAGAAGCTGCCACTGTTACGCGACTGCGAAACATGACTGACATAATATGAGAATGGAAGACGTAAGAAAACTGGAGGGGGAGTGAACAAAGGGAAGCAGGAGTTAAACTAGACTGCACGACGAATACAAAAATACACCCGATAAAAAGGTTAAAGGGCCCTCCCGGATGTCGCAATCGGGAGCGGTTATTAATGGTGCGATAAGGAGCTTAGATAAGCTGATGTGCCCACCCGACTGGTTATGCTTCCGGCATATTATGTCAGCTGCATAAAGACGATGTCATAACTCACTAATGCATCAAAAGTCAGTCGCCGACTGAGATGTCACGGGCCTGGATCGGCGAGTGGATACAGATCCCCGATGCACTGGCTCGGAAGTATAAACAGCTTCAAATTCGCATATATCTGTTAAATCTGCCATTCAGGACAAACACATGGTACTTTTTGAACATGACATCCATTCAACCTCAAATCTGCAAAAGTTGGCAAGCAACAGCGGGTCTGTTGTGGGCGCCTTCCACTGTAGTCCGAGTGCCACTGCGTCCTCTCCATTATCAAGCTGCAAAGAAGTCGGCCAGCACGATTGGAAAAGCATCTCTAAGATCGTTATCAGTTTATGCAAGGCGGCTGGCAGAATACAGTGCTCAGAATACGCGCACCTCTCCTCACAGACGTTCCCTGAATGGAACCGTCATTCGAGCAACATACAGCACTGCAACCATGGAACCAGGAGAACCAACAATCCACAATGTGTTTGAAAGCAAGACAGGCACTTGGCAATATGTGGTCGCTGATCCAACTACATCGGCAGCCGTCATCATCGATCCGGTCCTGGACTATGACCCGGCCACCCAGGTCATCACCACGGACTCGGCTGACGCGCTACTGTCCCTGGTCAAGGAGAAGGGATACAAAGTCGAAAGAATCCTTGAAACCCATGCACACGCAGATCATCTCACCGCGGCGTCCTATCTGCAGAAGCGCCTAGCCGAGGAGCAAGGCCACCGGCCGCCCATCGGGATCGGCAAGCGCATCGGACAGGTGCAGAAGTTGTTTGGTCAAAGATACGGCATTCCTGCGCAGGAATATGAAGGCGTCTTTGACAAACTGTTCGATGACGATGAGACGTTTAATATCGGCAATTTGACTGCCAAGGCCATTCATCTTCCTGGACACACGCCAGACCATTTGGGATACCGCATTGCAGGTAAGATGCCGACTCGCGCCCATTGACTTGTCACATTGGCTAATTAACCTGCTAGACAATATTTTCTGCGGCGATCTAATCTTCCATTTGGATATTGGCACCGCACGTTGTGATTTTCCCGGCGGCAGTGCCACCAACCTCTATCACTCAGGGCGGAAGGTCTTGGGCTTGCCAGATCACGTCAAGATCTGGACGGGCCACGATTATCCTTCCGAGGGGCGCAAGGAAGCTGTCCCGTCCCTGAGCGTCCAGGATCATAGGCAGCAAAATAAACACCTTAAAGACGGTGTCACCGAAGAGGAGTTTGTAGCGCTGCGGAAGGAACGTGATTCCAACCTGGCTGAGCCGAGGCTGCTTCACCAGTCACTGCAGATGAACATTCGGGCAGGACGATTGCCGAAGCCCACAGAGTCGGGGCAACGATTGCTCCATGTTCCGTTAAAATTGAAGGGGTTGACATGGTAGTGTTGGTACAGTCAAACGAAGCTGCAAGATATCGATAGTTTGTACATACTCCAAAGTAATTGTAATAAAATATTTTCATCTGGGTAACCTCGGTAGAGTATCCAAGTTGATCTTGGCACCCAGACCCTCGCTTTCATCATATGTCGATACCGAAGACGTATGTGTCTTAGGTGGATGAGCTCATGAGGCTAAAAATCATTGTCCTTTATCCTCTGTGGCCAGGACGGAATGCCCGATTGGGTTAGTAGGGCTAAGATTACTTACTTTTACCTCCTAGTGAATCTAATCTTATCTGATCCTGACATGACCATATGAGAGATGGACTGGGCATATAAAGACGCAGGCATACCTGGCTGTCCTTTCATACGCACATGCGACACAGATGAGGATGCACGCCCTGATGTTCATTCGACTGCTTCGTCCTGAGCCAGTCCGTAGCAACAGCTGCGGGCCGAGGTTTTCCCGGTAGGGCTGGTGGTGTGTCTCACGCGCCAGAGCAGTTCGAATCTTCCCTCACTTCATTCTCTATCTAAAAACCAAACAATTGATGTTTTCTTCATCGCTGCCTGTATTATCTCTCATGGTAATGCAAAGTCTACAGAAAATAAAACCTGTACATTTCTGCTAGTCCTCCTAATTTGCGACCGCAAAATGCAGCTTCCCTTGCGGCAACCACGAAACAAGGGCCATGCTGGTATTCTGCATCCCTATGTATGTAAGAGGCACTGCTCCATCCGACAAGCTCTTGCACTTTACACTAATAATACATCCAATTGCACAGTCTAAAGGATTGGTCGCGTTTGAGTATACCGACGGCCTCGTTCGGAAACCAAACATGCTCCTGTTTATCGGCGGCCTGGGAGACGGACTCGGCACCGTCGAATATCTGACCGACATTATTACGGCGCTGGAATATACATCCTGGTCCGTCTTCTCGCCTATTCTGACTTCTTCTTATAGCGGCTGGGGAGTGGGCCATTTGGGCAAAGACATCGATGAGATTGCGCGCTGCGTGCAGTATGTTCGGGAGTACAAGCAGGGGGTATTCGGCGCAGGGAAGATTGTGATCATGGGTCATTCGACGGGCAGTCAAGACGTCATGCATTATTTGAGTTGTGCGAATCCGCGACCGCGACATCCTGTGCTGGACAAGGATGCGGCAGTAGAACCACTCAAGCGGCCTCCTGTTGACGGAGCTATCATGCAAGCGCCTGTCTCGGACCGAGAAGGGATTAATTGGGTCATCCGAGACGGAACGGACCGGGACACTCCGGAAAGAATGCGCGAGATATACCAGAGAACTATTGCGCATGCCAGATCTACCCCTTACGAAGATGACAACACCCTCGATACCATCCTCCCTCTGTCGGTAACGACCCGGATCGGCTATCCAAGCTCAACGCCGGTCAGCAGTCGACGGTTCCTGAGCCTCGCTAGTCCAGACAGTCCGGAGAAGCCAGAAGAAGACGATATGTTCAGCTCCGACCTCAGCGATGACCAGATGCAGAAGACCTTTGGCCGGCTGCGGTCGCGGGGACTGCTGAGTTCAAAACTGCTGGTCTTGTACTCCGTACTCGGGAAGAGATCAGTCAGTGCCACCGTGGGTTGACAAGGAGCTTTTATTGAAGCGATGGTCCATGGCAGCTGGGGACTGCTGGGACAGCAACAGTACGATCATCCCGAACGCCTCGCATGCGCTGAGCGATGATGATCAGGCCGAGCCGAGGAGGATACTGGTGGAGCGCGTCATGTCCTACTTGGAAGATGTAGAGAAATACCCGACAACTGCAAGTTGACTTCGAGCAGCAAAAGCAACTTCAGAGGTGGAATGTGCGAGACACCGCCGAATGTAATACTCTCAACAGCGACTACGTGCGAAACGACCCGAGGCAAGCAAGTGTGATCAACCAATCCCAACTCCATTTCTCAGGAGAAGGCATCCCTCTGCGGCGAATTACTGCTGGAGCATATCATCATCGCCTGAGCCGGTGTAGCAGACTCCGTCGGCCCATGAACAGAGTGACTGAGATGCTTGGAGAGTACCAGCTCCTTACCTTAGGGAGGGCCGGATCATGCACCTTATGTCAGTCAAGTCCTGGTGTTAGACGGGTCTAAGCCATGGGTATGATTCCACCAGTTCGATTGCTCGTATACCGACAGGATGCAATTGACGTCCATGATCTATTTGGTACCCTTCGATCGATCAGGGTCTTGAGATGGTGGGAGCTGCAAAAGTGCAAGCACAAAACCTGACCAAATGGACGGCGGAGTTACGGTTATCTTAGTGATGTAAGTCAGATGTACGGAGAGCTCTCGGATTGGCCAATCCATATCGATATCTGAGATCTCTATCCCGTTGACTCCATGTGGGCGATGAGCTACGTTGAGTTCTAAGGATATTATGATGGAAGATAAGTTTCTGAATTCTTGTATAATACATCAAATCTGTTCCACATCTCTCAAACACGTACCAATTCCACCTGAGCATATTACATACAGGCTGTGATCAAACTCGACATCTTGATCGAGACTCTAGTGTAGCTCCTCCATCGTCTTTCAGAAGATTGTCCGCGCTTCAAGCGGTAGGCTGAGCAGAGGGAACGCCAGATGGAGCGACGCCGGTGGGGGATGAGCCCTGGCCCTGACCCTGCTCCTGACCTTGACCCTGACCGCCGAATCCGGCAGCACCAGAGGGGGCAGCACCCGAAGGAACAGCGCCAGTAGGAGACGGGCCGGAGCCCTGGCCACCTTGTCCAGAGCCACCGAAACCTCCCGCGACGCCAGAGGGAGCGGCACCAGAAGGAGCGGTACCAGAGGGAGCAGCGCCGGAAGGAGAGGCCCCAGAACCCTTGCTGTGACCGCGGTGACCACCATGACGACCGCTTGCCGATCCGGAATGGGAAGCACCAAAAGGCGAGGTGCCAGAGGCCTGGAACTTGGCGTTGCCGGAGTTCTGAGATTCCTGTCCGAAGCCGCCAAAGCCACCAGCTGAGCCCGAGGGAGCAGCGCCGGTGGGCATGGCTCCAGACGGAGCAGCACCAGAAGGAGCCGCGCCTGAGCCCTCAGAGTCCTGGGGAGAGCGGGCGTGAACACCTTGGCCGCCGAAGGAGCTGCTGTCTCCCTCACCCTGGGGAGCGCCGGAGGGAGCGGGACCGGTACCGAATGAAGGGAAGCCGGAGGGAGCAGCGCCAGTTGGAACAGCGCCGGAGGGCATAGCACCGCTGGGGAACGAACCACCATTCTGGCCTTCGCCACCGAATCCCCCAGTCATCATGGGACCTCCGGGGAAACCGGAAGGCATGCCGGAGGGGAGGCCAGTGAGGAATCCGCCAGGAGCGCGCTGTCCAGTAGGGGTGGGCTTTACGTCGGAACCTTTGTCGGCGTTCTGAATGGGCGCAGCCAGGGTAGAACCGAGAAGGCCGAGAAGGAAAGCAGCAGTCTGAGGCTTCATTGTGAAGTCAACGAAAGGAACGGTTTATGTGAAGTAGAAGATTTGATTTTTTGATTTGAAGTTGAAGGATTGAAGACGGCAACCAGGCCTTGAAGTTCAAAGAGTGTGAGTTTTGAAAAGAATGGAAAGCTGGGTGCTAGATTCTTGAGTCACCGGGACTATGGGGAGAAAAAGCATTTCGAGAGTGGATTTGACGGCGTTTAAATAGATGTGCTGGTACTTTAGTCTGGCTGCGTTGACTGGGGATTTCCGAATTGGGCTAACTGAGAGGGTACTATTTGTCCATACTGAGTCGGGGAATCTAAATGACCCTTCTGTGTCCCATTTTCCTCCTCGAGATTCAATCTGAAGCCACCAAAGCTGGTACGCGTCAGCTTCAGAGGGATCGTCAGGTGGAGACTAGACGCATCGTCAACTGTCGAAACGAAGAGAAAGATGGATGAACACTTGCTTCGGTACTGAGGGATTCTGCCCTACAAAGACCGGACAAAATGAATCTGCGTCTAGGCCCAGGGATCGTCCTGCTGGCGCCAGTGCCCACTCGCAAGCTGGAATTGACGACTGAGGATTGCAGTGGAGGGACGGCTGGAGGAAGTGAAACAACGAACACGCCACCTGCTTCTGATTGACAACCGACGCCAAGTAAAGCCAAAACGCATTTGGCAGCGACTGACTCGGGCTGAGCGCCAGTGCTTCACATTGCACTCGCGCCGTTGCAGAGCGAGTCTCGACTCTAGCAGTATAGTGACTAGTGGGCGGTACGCGTCATCTTGGTCTGTGCTTAGGTCGAACCTGTTTGAGATATGGGTACTAAGTTGCTAAGCTTATCCCAGAGAATCTTGTGTATTGGTGGATCAATGGCGGTTAATTCAGGGAAATGCAGAGACGGTGTCCCCTGATTGTTGGATCGGAGAGGGAGCAGTCGGGGGTGCTACTTTATCCGCCGTAACTGATATTGCTTACAGGCCCCTGCTAGAACCAATAGGGCTGTACCATGTATACTGCAGATTACACAATACCTTATGTGGATTAAGGTGAAACAAGATGAAGCACTGACTCAAAGCCTTGCAGAGGAGCCTGAGAGGACAGTGGGGATGTGGACCAGCTTGGGAATAGTAGCCACTACACCCCATGGAGAGAAGATCATCTACACTAAGATACATGAAATAGCGGCAGAGAAGACGGAATGGTGGCGAGAGGACGCTCACTTAGCGGGTTTCAAGTAGATCGTCTGTATACAAAGTTTCATTTAGAGTCTGCCATTTGGCATGAAGAATAGTAACCTATATTACGCGGTCACTTGGGGAGATGTTATGACCGCTGGAAGGGAAAATGACATTGAGGCCATCCGCGTATCAGAACAGAGGATATTATATTCTTTTGAAGCTCAGAGAACCACATCGTACATCTCGAATGAAGTAACAGCCGATTTCAACTCCTCTGTTAAAGAGAGTGAACTGAAGCAATGGCAGGAGCATAGGTAGTGCTGTTCGATATATCATCTCCTATCTTGATTCATTGCAGGAACTTTGAAAATTATGCTGATCTGATCTACGATCTAGAGTTAACCAAGCCTGCAAACCTCACGCTGATTTGATCTGTCTTCTTCTGAAAAAGAGCAAGAATGTCACTTTTACCCATTGCGGCCGCGACGTCCTATACCTGTTAGCATGAACCCATGACCTCAGACAGAAGAGAACCTACCACAGCAAACCGTTGCTTGTAATCCTCCTGAAAAGGATCCAAGCCTAGGTCCATCAAATACTTGAATGACTTGATGTATCGTTCCTTGCCTAAGGACCCGGCCAAGCCGTCCTTGTGGGTGCAGCGAATGTGTCTATATGCTCTGAATGGTTTGCCCAATATAGTCTGCCAACCAGATGCCAGTCGCTTCCATGGCGCGTTTTGTCTGATTTGATGGCTTCCATAGTGTCGGCCTGTAAAAGGGAAACCATCTCCTGGTTTGCGTTGGCAATTACAACCTCCAGAGGCGTCCTGTCCATTTTGTCTCTGGCAAGGATGTCCGCGCCGTGTGCACGCAGCAGACCAACAATCTCGTTTATTCGTAATGTCTCGTCGTCGTCAGTGAAAAAATGCCAGACACCCTCGGCAAAACGAGAGCAATTGTCCGGTGGGCACTTGCGATATCTTTTGAACTCTGCACACGCATGCAACGGAGTCTCGCCTTTCTCGTCAGCGATGGTGGCATCGGCCCCTGCGTCTAGCAGGAGAACGACGGTCTCTCTCTTACCGGAGCGACAAGCGTAGTGAAGAGGTGTGCAGCCGAGTCGATCTCGCTGGTTGACAAGTTTCGCCTTTTCCTGCTCGTCGTACCTGTCAAGCAAAAGTCCGACAATGTTGCTCTGCTTGGCCGACGCCGCAATATGAAGCGGGCTCTCGCCATGATAGGTTGTGGCCGCCAGATCAACTCCTTTCTCAATCAGCCAGGCAACTAGATACTCGGAGGTTGCGGCTGCTTCATGGATTGGCCGCCGGCCGCGATGACCTGCCATTTGCAGCATAGCGCTTACATCCAACGCTGGCAAGTGGTTCATGGGATTATCCACCTCATCAAGAAGTCGTTCAGGGTGGGGAGGGTCAACGCTGCACATGGAATGTAAGACTGTTCGACCTTTGAAGTTTCATGCAGTGACCGGAACATCCGTCCTTGGTAGCATGTAGAGCGCAGAAATGACGCTCCCTGGATTTTGACACAAAGCATGTCGCGTCAAGCAATGAAAAGGCGTATCCCCATTATGATTCACGTGCAGTGGATTTGCTCCCGAGTCCAGCAGGAATTTTATCTTTTTTGGTCCCAGAACAGCATCGCAAGCCAAATGTAAAACGTCGTTCCCTTGGTAATCCGTGGCATGAAGATCGGCACCCATATCGAGGAGCTCTTTGGATGCTCCTGATCGCAGAAGAACGGTCCTCCCGCAGTTATCTCTGGCTTCTATATCAGCCCCTACGCGGATTAAGCACTCGCGATCTTGGCTAGAGCAAGCCTTGTGCAATGGAGTTTCCCCAGCATTGTTGGGCCGGTTCGGATCTGCCCCCAGGGCCACCAGCTGCGGCACCAGTTCGTGCATCGACTGCATCGACTGTACCAGATGAAGGGGTGTATTGCCTTGGGCGTCTGCAATGCTTGGGCGTCTGCAATGCTTCAGTCTTGAACATATAGCTTGAGGACATCGAGACAGTCCGCGTGGAACCCTTCCAAGCAAGTATGTAACGGCATCTTGCCGTCCTTGGCCCGAATGACATCCCAGCGTGCTCCGTACCGCATCAAAGCTTCCAAGGTCCGCACAGAGGCCTTGGAGGGCCGGAATAAATGCAGCGGCGTGTTTCCCATGTCGTCTGTGGCGTGTACGTCTGCTCCAAGCTGCAAAATCCTCTCGACGAGGGGAGAATTACTTTCGACAAAGTAGTGCAACGCCGTCCAGCCGCCACCATTCTGATAGTTCACATCGCATTCTGTTTGGAGGACTAGATCAAAGCAATCCTGTATTCGCTGCTTCCTATTCTTCCGCCGGCGTGGAGTATCAGCTGCCGTGCAAGGCTGGCAGAATGTCAGCAGAAGATGAGAGGCAGGAAATGACGTGTCACGGTGCGCGCCTCGGTCTAGAAGTAACCGCATCATGTCGTAATCCCGTCTGTTCGTGGCAGAAAGGAGGCATCGCCATCCGAACTTTGTGGCCAGGTCGATGCCGGAGACGTTGAGGAGAAACTCGACCATCTCACACAAGTCTGCCATGACGGCCTATAGCACAGGGGACTTTATATCCTTGTGCGTCACATAAGGCAGCATCACCCTCACCGTTTCCATGTTGCCCTTTTCTACTGCCCACTGAAAGGGACTCTCTCCCACAGCTGACCGAAAAATCCGTCTCTTTGGCGGTGGGTGGTCGTACGTCTTGCCGGTCATGGGACTGACGCCAGCTTGGAGCAGAACCCGGATGAAATCGTGCTGTCGCATAGTGGAGCGGTTTGTTGCCATGCAGACACGGGTCGTCCGGCTCGGCCCCATGCTGCAGCAGGAGAGTCACCAGCTCGAGGAATCCCTTGGTGGCGGCATAGCTCAATCGAGTCCTCAACCGTTTGTCTAGGGCGTTGCAGTTATGGCTGTCCTGAAGAAGCAATCGAGCGTAGTTGGTGAGACCAGTCCAGGAGACGGCATGGAGTGGTGTGATGGACTCCACTGCATACTCGGGATTGATGACCTTCTCCATCCAAGCCAGATAAGCTGGATTGTCTGTTCTCATGAAGTCGTTGAGTGTGTCAAGGAGCTCGCCGTTTATCTTGGACAGGCGACGGACATGGACATGCCAGTTTCCGAGAGCGTACTCTAGAAAAGGATGGTCGAGATAGCTCCGGAGAGGAACCGGGTCAGTGAAGGCCTGAGTAGTCCGTTTTCGAACGCGATAGGAGGCAAGGCAGCCGCAAAGAAGGTACTTGAGACAAACGGCGGCCAAGAGACTGTTGGTTTCCTCGGGATCAATGACCGGAAAGGCGTCGGCGAGATAGCTCGTAGCTGTGTTGCGTTTCGGGTCAACCAAGAATTCCGTGAACGAATGAGGATGATGGCGACAGTTTCATCTTCCAGAATCTCGAGTAGAGGTCCACAGGACATGCGTGTGAGGTTCTTTGCATCCCCGTGTTTTTCCTTGTTAGTACTCATGTCCAGAAAGGCTAGGACCGTTGCCACTTCCAGAAGTCTCAACGGTTTGGTAGCGTGGGTTATCAGTTGGAGAACCAACAATTGCCGCTGTCGGGGGACCCTTGCCAATCGGGAATGACCGTGCAACATTTGCGAGTACATATCCTCAAGACTATCTGGCAACGCGAGCAGGGTTCGGTTGACCGATTCAACCTCCAGCGTGTTGCCTCGGTGGTCGTCCAAGAGTTCGTCGATCAGAAGACGGGCGTGGAGAAAAGACGGATGCACGCGATCCTCGATTGATCCTTTGATTCTGTCCCGTACCGACTCGCTTAAATGGACTGCGTCTTGGAGGCAGTGATCGACGAACAGGGCGATATCCCGATTGACATGTCGATCTTCCAGCCTGACCTGCAGTGTTGGAGTGTTCAACAACTTTTGAATTTGAGGGAGCGGACGGCTGGTCATCAGTAACTTTATATGACCAGTTTCTTGCTTCCCAAGGGCTACTAGATGCTGCAAGAATTCGTCTGCATGGTCACTGTCTAGTTCGTCGAGCGCATCGACGACGCAGAACACCTTCTTGAGCAGGTGAAGGATATCGAGAAGAGCATGCCACAGCTCCGTAAATCCAATATCATGTACTCGACGATACTCTTTCTTGAGCCCCTCTACCCACGCTTGAAGATGAGGAGAGTAATCGAGAAGTTGTGCCATCCAGTCTCGCACCAAAGCATGCGGATCGTGGTTCGCAGAGACGATTTGGCGGCAGAAGAAGAAAAGAACGGGCGAATTGCTTTCTTCTTGTACGCAAAAAACCAGCCGAGCAGTTAGTACGCTTTTTCCTGCCCCTGCCACAGCCTTGATCCACAAGGCGCTGTTAGTCGAGGAGTCGAGCCACTGCCGGAACTGGGGAGTCTGATAAATCCATTCTCCAGTACCAGAAACGTGCGAGTTTAAATGCTTCTTGAACTCGCTCGTATCTCTGGGATAAGCAGTCGGATACAGCCAGTCCCGGAGGTTCGCAATGTCTTCGGCTGATTTGGAAATAGGGCCAACAGATGCATCGTCTGGATCTACGAGCACAAATCCGCTGTCCTCGCTGTCAGACATGCTGATGTGGCTTTCGCCTTCTGTCAAGGCAGCGATAGGAAGTAAAGAATGAGAGGAGAAATGAGCTTTGCATGTTATAAATAGCCGCGTGCAGGACTTGATGGTGTCTTAGTTCTTGGTAAGTACTATCTTGGTCTAGGCTGCTCGTATTCTGCCCTCTATCGGGGTATCGAGAATCATTTCCGCTTTGGTTCTATTTCAATTCTCGCCAAAGCATCCTCTGTGCCTCATCAGGGTCCGTCCTAGCAACTACAGCGACATATAATGCCCAATCGGCAACTTGTATCAGCCTCCGGGACCTGTCTTTCTGCTGTGGAACAGAAGCCATGAGATCAAGACCGCGCGCTCCAATCGTCCTTCCAAGCACCAGAGTATGAAGAAATAAGACATATTCCGCTGTGCAGCTCGCACTGAGTTGCAGTTGTGCACCATATGGCGCGAGTACGCTGCTGATTTTGCAGGGATTATTGCAAACGGGGCAGAAGTGTGACCGTATCATTCTTATGAGAGGCAAATCTTGTGCAGAGTTATTTCCCTGGCCATCTGTCATGGCTGAAATTGCTGCACTTGTCTCGGGAGGCAGGCCTGATAAATCTTGAGCTGACAGCATTCCTCTAGTAATTATGCCAAGCGCACAAGGATATGTGTCTCTGCATACGACTGATATGTTGACTCACCGGGTTCCGTCTGCAAGACATCAAAGACATGGCATAGTGGCCATCGACACCAATGATTCTTACCAACCTGGGTGGTCTATAACTGCAGGATTGTCGAATTGTATTGAGACTGCTCTGAATCAGAAAGCGACTTTATCATTTCCCCACTGCGATTGAGTCTATCCTGGCCCGGACTATCCGCAATGCAACCCTGTCTGGACTCTAGCCCCGTGATGCGCTGACCATGGACCGCGTTTAAGGTTATCTCTATGGTTGCCATATGGACCTCTTACGGCTGGGCCTTGGCTTTGATTAATCATGGTTCCATAGTACAATTCTTCCCTATAAATGTTCGTTGGGTATCTTCCAGATCCGGCCACCAGAGCTCAAGATATCCATCCCCAAGTCTCTTTATGCCTGGTATCTGTAGAGCAGCAATTCCACGTAACGATGCAGCTGTCTATCTATCCAGACCTTTCCTATCCCCCTCATTCTCAACATAGTAGACACAGTACAAGAATCAAACAAGCTGCGTAATTCATAAAGCTCATCCACACTCCACATCACGTCCAGCTCATCGTCCCGCAACAGGGGTAGAAAGATCGACCGAATAGAGCTAGCTAGGAGTGAGCATAATCCTCACTTTCGAACTCACTTGAAGGGATTCTCACCTAATCACCTTTTTCGTAGTGTAGCACAGAGACTGGTATGAAGCCAAAGCGCTCGCATATGATGCAGGTTGTATACGAACAGACAATATAGACTGCAAGGGTGCGTGGTAGAAGATAGAGGATAGCAAGTAGGCCTAGTACAGCTTCCATGATTGCCATTCTTTGAGGAAATCACGGAGTATTCGCTTTTTCGGCGCGACGGCAACACAAGGAGCTTGCCAAGCGCGCGAGGAGAATGTCCTGCATAATTCTATAAATGTAGTGGGACGTCGGGAAAAAATCAGTACGGCTTGCTCTGTTGTCATTTGCAGTCGCTCAGTCATGGACACTTTATATAGGTACGCGACATGCTTGACGTTTTCAATGCTATCCCGTCAGCTTATCCCTGAGCAGCCTCAGAAGCCATGGGGAGGTTACATTGAGGGTGGATGCACGCGGTCAGAGAGCGTTTTCTTGAGGTCAAAGCACTCTGCAGAGAAGAAACGGCAAGGATGGGAAGATGTCATGGACTGTCAAGCTGCGTTTATTTGGATTGCTCGTCACCGGTCCCTGGTACTGTCTGGCATTTCTCGTCAGTAGAAGTATCACTAATGCGAGTGTGTATCCTCTAACGGCACACTCGCTAGTTCTTCCACGGAATTTTGGACAGGACCCATCTGGAACACCTGGAGCAGTGGCGCCTTGATTGTGTGTTGGTCCAACACCCTCCAATACTACATTACTCTCCTATATGAGCCCAGGAGGTATAGAGGAATTCCACCGGTTAGATGGTATGCCACTCACTGTCCCTTGCATAGTCCGGCCACGATTCTAGGCCATGTTGCTGTAGGAATTAAGAACATGAGTTACGTCCTTGTCTGTCAAGCAAGCGCTATCTCTAGAAGGTCAATGGACTGCTTCAGCTTGCATAGCTTCATTGCCTGTCGAAGAGACTATCCTACATGGGTCTTTCTAGGAAGAGGACTCTATTCCTGGTGCTACTCCGACGTTCGCCATCTGGGTGAGAATGATGTGACATTGATGAATCAAGCATAATCAAGCTCATGGGCCCACTCAAAACCGTCCAGCAGGACCGTTAGAAACTTTATTTAAAGGAAGAAAGTTAAGCTACACCAACATGAATCAAGGAAGCGGCATCTCTGACAGTCCCATTCCATGGAAGGGGAACATTTTTCTTTTCCACGGCACATTCCAGGAAATCCCCCTTGATCCAGACCAAAAGCCGGTTCAGCCACCATCCATAACACCTGTCATATCCGCAACCAGCAGCTGATCTTAAATCCCAGCTTATAGACGTCAGAGGTCTTTTGGAGTGAGCAGCCAGCAACCGAACGGGGCTGAAGTCGACTATGCCAATATACGGATCCAGGCTAGAGGCACAAGGTCTCAGAATAACCAAGTGTAAGCGTAGTTAGGCCTCCAGTGTCCAGTATGCAGTCATCAGTGAGATGGGAAACACGCCCGCAGAAGCATAAGACTAGTATTGAAATGAGAGTTAAGATATACATCTGCTTGCTGGGCGTCGCTCGCCGGTCAGATAACACTAATCCACATAGCAATGTCTCGTACAGTGGAGTTGGGGACGCAACTCACTGCTCTGGCTGGCTGCCCTCCAGAGCAATATTGCCTGCTGTCAGACGCAAATCGGGCGCTTCGATTGTCGGTCCAATATAGCAAGCTTCGGAGAAACCCAGGGGGCAACTGGCGTGGAGAGACCAGGACCGACGACATTGCAACAACAGCAGAGCATATCCTCATGCACCAGGCTCTCGGTATCAACCTGGATACAGACCGAGATGCATTTATTTCATGGCTCTATTCTGTCCAGAACTTGGATGGTTCATGGGACATCAACCCAGGGGACCATGACAACCTTTCAGTCACGGTTGAGGTCTATCTCGCTTTAAGAATCTTGGGTGTCTCGCGGAAAGATCCTCAAATGCGCAAATCTCAATCGTTCATCCTTGCGGCAGGAGGAATAGGAAACATCTGTTTTATTACCCGCATTCATCTTGCAATGTTTGGCTTATATCCCTGGAATGCCGTGCAGAGTCTTCTTCCCGAGTTGATATTCCTGCCCCAACATATTCTAAGCAGCATATGCTGCTGGCCAGCTATGGATCCGACAGCATTGATCCCCCTCCATATTCTCTGCCATCATCGCCCAATCTTCCCATTACCCAGTCAGGAATGCCCAGCCAGCGCGTTCCTGAGTGAATTGCGGTGCAAACCACAAGAACCGCAAGAGAAAGCCTTTTGCAGGGACATTGCAATAGCCTCATCCTCCCCAGGCTTGATTCTGCATTTTCTGAAGCCGCTAAAATACGTATTTCCCCTCCGACGCTATGCGCTCGATCGGTGCGTTGGGTCCGTCCTTGAGACAGTGCGGGAAATGGGAGGTACAGCGCATCTGTCGCGGCCGTTGCACATGGCGATGCTTGCATTAAAACTGGAGGGTTACTCGGTTCACTCGCATCCTCTGCGCACAGGTCTGGACTATCTCGGACAATTTGTATATGAGGATGAGAATGGGAAGAGGGTGCTGAGTGGGAGTACAACCTTCTGCGACAGCAGTCTGATGATTACGGGCCTTACGGAGGCTGGCATCGCAGTCGATACTCCATGGTTCAGGAAGTCTGTGCAATGGATGCAGCGTTGTTTACATCCAGACGGCGAGAACAACACATCCAAATCTTTCGAGACTGGCATCTTTCGTATCGATGATGTGGCAGCAGCGATTCATGCAGTGCTTCGACATGACCCTCTGATGGTCCGCTCCGCCTTTGTCTCCAACGCCCTCGAATGGCTTCTGAAGCGGCAGAATGCAGATGGTGGATGGTCATTTCCAAGCTGCAGTGAGACACTGATTCGTCAATCGACGCCAGACGTGACCGGTCGTGTCCTCGAAGCCTTCGGCTTGGTTCTAACGCTGAGTCGACGGAACAAGAAACTGGCTAGGCAAGGGATATTGATCGATCATGTCGCATCTGCTTCCCAAAGGGCGATACACTACCTATCCTTGACCCAGCAACCCTGCGGGGCCTGGTTTGGGTGCTGCATCAGACATCACATTTACGCGACAAGCGCTGTCCTCCGCGCCTTGGCCTATTTCATCGGGGTCAAGGACCGCAACAGGTGGGCCGAGAGAGATGACAGTATCAACGACGACGTGTGCCAAGCGATCCACTGGCTCCAGCGCGTCCGCAATCCAGACGGAGGCTGGGGGGACATTTCCTGGAGAGAAAAAGGTGGGAAGTCTACAGCGTCACAGACAGCTCTGGCACTCCTGGCGTTACTTCCTTACCTGTCGCCCATGGAGAGCGTACTCCGAAATGGCGTGGAGTATTTGCTACAAACACAGACCAAGACACTCGTTGGAGGGGCAACATGGATGGAGGATCAGTCGATGAGGGCTGGTTCTTCCGCCTGCACATATATCAGCTCTTCCTATAGCTCGCATTGTTTCCCCGTGATGGCAATTGGCAGGTATGCACAAGCACTGAGGCAGTATGAATGTGGTGGCGAACCTATCTTTTCCAGTGGGGCGGAGAATGTAGGTACAATAAGTCTGTAAATTCCTATTCTGTTTGTTAATCAATGGTATACATTCCTCCATAATGAGCCTGGTGAACTTAGGTGTGAGTGTACCTTTCCCTAATTATAGCAATACCGTCTAAAGTAAACTACCTAAGGCAAGGTGTCCGAGTGGTCTAAGGAGCACGGTTCAGGAACTGGACCTATAAGCTGATTCTTCAGTTTCCGTGTCTCGCAAGGGGCGTGGGTTCGAATCCCACCCTTGTCATTGATCTTTTTTTAAGTCTTTTTCATTTTCTATTTTTATTCCTTTTGATGCTCGATCGCAATGAACTAGCTATCTCGAGGAGAGAATCAGCTCCATGATAGGTTGTGAATATATAATTACTTCATTGTGCGAGACAGAGAGTTTCTCTGAAGATGCACACTATGAAAATATGGCACTCCACAGTGCTTTATATTCTTCTTGAAAAGGCAGCTATGTTTATCTCGGCGCAGATGTGTCCTCTTTTGTATGATTCATACTACTCATCTGAGGCTGATGAACGTGGAATAGAGTGGTTCCTGCATACCGGGGCCACCGAAGAAAACGACGCGCGAGAGGCCCTAGAAGACATGCCATCACGAGCTGTGCTTAGGATACACTTCCTTGCAAGTCATCGACACTGCTCGCGCCGGGAATCAAACCTGGCGGCAGCATTGATACAGCAGCCGCCGCGAGCGTGGCAATGGACTCGCCACTCAAAATATGCATCGTGGGCATTTCCACCAACAATTCCTCTTGGAACCACCGCCGCAGATCGATGGCGACGAGGGAGTCAATGCCGAGGCCGATAAGCCGCGTGTCTGACGGCAGCGAGGCATCTGAGGGAATATTGAATTTATTGCGCACTTTGCGAGAGAAACCCTCCGTGACGACCTCGACGGCTTCCTCCATGCTGGTCACACCTTCCAGACGCGTCCTCATTGACTGGCTTTCACCTTGTGTTGTAGGATCGTTGGAGAGAGACTGGATGTGGTAGTTGATGCGGTGCCAGGTGAAGGGGGAATGGTACCAGATGATATCGGGCTGCTTTACCGGGTCGGTGACTGGCGCCCCTGCAACAATCTCCGGGTTTCGATTCGAGGAGGGATGACCGGCGAGAATGGCCTCGGCGAAGAGTTCATGCAGGTCCCGTTCGGAGAGCCCCTCAGCGCCGAGGCTGTTGCGGAGGTACTGGGCGAGCTCAGCTCCCTTGCGGGCAATATACCCCACGCCGCTGATAACGCCGGGTTGGACGATGCTGCCGACACGGTTCTGCATGCGCCGCCGGCGAATCAGCCCGGCTTGAAAGCCATTGGCCGCTGAGTAGGCAGACTGGCTCCAGTTCCCGATCACACCAGCGAGGGAGCCGCAGAGGATGAAAAAATCCAAGTCGATGCCGCCGGAGAGCTCGTCCAGCACCAGACTCCCATGCACCTTGGCGGCAAAAGTGGATTGCATCATTTCCAGCGAGACACTAACGAACGGGGCGTCATGCAGAACTAATGCTCCGTTTACAATGCCTCCGAGGGGTGGATGATGCTGCTGGATCTGGCGATAGACGGACGCGATGGAGTCCCGGTTCGACAGGTCCCTGATGGATTAGATGTTGTAGCCAAATATTGGAGAACGGTGACTTACATTTTCATTGGTACTACCTTGGCCCCCGTTGCTGCCATTGCCTCAAGCCATCCAGAACTTACATTCGGGGATCGACTGGTGAGAATTACATTGCGGGCTCCGCGGGTGATCATCCAGCGACAGACTGAGCGGCCCAGATCGCCTGTCATCCCAGCCAACAAATATGTCTTGTCTTTGGACAAATGGATCATCGAGCTCGCTGTCTCGACCCGGACAGACAGTGGGTTGGAGACATCATACCGAGTCCAGTCAATAATGAGGCCTTGTTTCGCCTCGAGACCTGTAGCAGAGAATTCATTGATATTGACCACCGACAGTGAGGTATGTCTTCTTGATTCTATCAAATGCCTGGCCGTTGTGACAGTACTGGTCAGTAGGTGATAGGATATCCGGTTTTCATGAACCGGTGGTAGCACCATGACGCCGTATAGGCTGCTCATCGTTCCTCGTAGCACGTGGTCAGGCAGCAGCTTGCTGATGCTCCGAGACAACCCATCCTTCCCATCCTCTGAAGCAAGGGATATGAACATAGAAAGCTCTGGGGGGATGAGGTTGGCGAGCGCACGAATCGAACTCCTTGGGTGTACAATTACGGTATTCTCCCGCTGACTGGACAAATCCGCCATGGTGAACTGGCATCGAATTTCTTTGGTAACAGCGTGCATTTCAATTGCCCGCTGTAGGGCTTCATCTGCTTCATGCACCCACACGACCGTGGAATCTTCCGCCTGTTGGACGATTGAGTAGGCCACAATAGTTGTTACAGCGGCATGTAAAAAGGTTTGCTCGTTGTTCTCGGAGACTTCTGCTGGAAGCTCACGGCACCAGCTGGCTGGCGTTGTGACAACAGTGGCATTTCTGTCAGCAAAGGCAAGCATGCGCTTGTTGCTGTTCGTCTCTATTCCAATTACCAGATGAAGGAAGACTCTTCCCCTCCCAACCCTAACCGCTTGCGCGCTGGAACATTGGATATGCAGGCGGATATACGCCTGGGCAGCAGTGAGCGACTTTGCGCCATCGCTGTGCTCATCGTCCATATGAAGGTTGTACTGACCGCTGGAATCAGACGGTACTAGCTTGACGGATGCATCTTCCAGCTGAACGGATTGGTAGACAGCCTGTCGACAGGCTTCGTACCGAGTGTTCAACTCCGGCGCGTCCGTAAGGCGCGGGATTGTCATCGCGCCCTTTTCAAAGCGCAGCTCGGGCTCTGCCACCCAGACACGGTCAGGCAGAGTGTAATGGTTAGGCTGGTCAGTATACACCAGACGCAGCAGTGTACGAGCAACAACGACAGCATCGAGGTCCGCGGGTTCGACGACATTGAGATACTGATACAGGCCATCCTTATGCTCGTAGGGGAGGCACTTCAGCCAGCCTTTGCTCATACAGAACCAGGGGCAGTCCGATTCCGAGCCAGCGGTCACCCAAAGAAGCTTCTGAGCCATTCCGACCAGGTGTTGAAGCCCTTTGAGGCGGTCTTCGCTCAGGTCCTCGAAGCATGGCTTGTCGACGTCGGTTAGGACTAGGGCGCCAACGGCCGAGGCATGCAAGTCATTATCAGCTAACACTTCAAGAGTTTGTACTTGAATAACGCGGTAAAAGTAAGGACCTAAAAGTCCAGATATGTCGTCCACAAGGCGCGATGTGTAGTTTTCAGCACCGCCAACAATCACCAGCGCGTCGGTGACTTCAGTGTCCGGTACCGATAAGGGCTCACGCAGAAGTCGCATGCGATGATCGATCGCCTGTGAGAGTAAGACCGAATAGGTGCTCAATCGCGGATCGCCCAACTCAGAGACAGAATCAAGACCACCAAAGCCAGTGACCTGAAGAGCCTCATCCCATTGTGAGACGCTCAGTCTAGGCCCCCACATTCGGCCGTCCTTCTCGCCCACCCACCATCCCTCAAAACCACCAAAGCAGAAGGAAACCCTGAGAGTGTCGGTGTTGGTGGCCTCCATTAGAGCGAGGTAGCCACCAGGCTTTAGCAGGCGGCGGACGTTGCTCAAGGTCTGCCGAATTGACGGCGTGGCATGGAGGACATTGGATGCGATCACCAGATCGTAGCTCGCATCCTCGAAGCCCTGCTGGGTAGGATCCTGCGTGATGTCAAGGGACTGGTAGAGGAAGCGGTCTCCATGTTCGGCGAACTGCTGCTGAGCGTCCTCGAAGAAGCCGACGGAGATGTCTGTGAAGGTGTACGAGTGATACGACCGGCCAATGCGAGCCAGCGTGGCACTGGTGGCCGAGCCGGTTCCAGCTCCAATCTCCAGGATTTTCATACGAGGATAGCGGAAGACGATCTGGCTGGCCACGTCACCCAGACAATCGTTGGCAGTCTTCGTCTCGACATCCTGCTTGTAAAACAGGCCGAGTAGGTTGTCATTGCGTGTTTCCTCGAGGATGGTGGTCTCGCCGCGCAAGAACCGCAGCATATTGGAACCCACCACCCGGCCCATGACCACTGCGGGTAGATTTGGAGGCAGCGAACTCATCAGCCTATCGAGATCCTCCTGGGTGCTGTCCAGCCATTCTGGAGGACAGATTGGATGTTTTCCCCACCGTGTCAACGATAACACATGGTCAAACCAAGCGACTACCCGTGCACGATGCCAGTCGAGGCCCGCGCGGTCAGCGGAAGTAAGCTGCTCGCTAATGAGTTTGATATGAATGAGCACTATGCGCTCGACGGTCAGAGTCTGAGCCACAGATTCCACCGAAGACGTAGACGATAGTCTTTTTGCGTCCGGGACAAGGGGACCCCAGACCACCTGGGAGAATGGCCGGCGACCCTGCCTTGTCTTCTCCAAGGGCGCGACTCGCACTCTCTCCATCTGAACAATGCCGTCGCCATTCTGTGTAAACAGCTGCACGTTTCCAGAACACCCTTTAGGGCCAAGGCTGTTGACGACAGCGTCAACTAGGAGCTCGTCACTTGCGATGGGGTCCCTGTGACGGCCGTAGAAAACGGGATTAAAGATGACACGATCGATTCCGGTCGGGATTGGCATATTATCCAGCTGTCCGTCCCTGGTCGTGCTCAGGGCAGCAAGAAGCATCTGCAGACTGGCGTCCAATACGGCAGGATGGAACAGCAACGATGAGGCTAGGTTCGTGATATTGCCGCTTGACGCATCCAATTGGCGGGAAAGAGATGTAATACACTGAAACGGTCCTGAATAGCCGTAGCCGACGCGTTTCAAGGATTGATAGAAGTCGTTCATATCCACCGGTCTCATGTCTTCACTAACAGGAGCTCGCGATGGCAGCAAGCAAGCTTCGGGTTCTCCCCATCCCAGAGTCAGTTTCCCCGAGGCGCAAAGAGTAAATCTCCCACCGATGGTGGCATGGCAGCTGAAGGAACCAGTTTCTTTATTTCCACTCCGGGGTCGGAAATCGCTGACTCGGAACAGGGTCTCCACCCCCATGGTATCATTTTCGTCCGAGAAAGTAATGGCCTGGGTTATGCTGAACTCATCAACCTGCACGAGGCGCACGACCCGACTGGCAGCAACGATGGCAGCCGCCTCCAATGCCATAAGGAGATACCCTGTTGCCGGAAACACTGTACGGGACTGAATCTGGTGCCCATCAAGCCAGTCGATTTCCTCCCGGCGCAGATACTGTCGCCAGCGCCACTCGCCATCCGTGGTGTTAGTCTCAAAGACTCCTAGTAACGGATGGGGTTGGTGCCGGGCATACAAGCGGTCCCGCAACGCCCGTGTCTCAAACCAATACGGTTGACTGTGTTCAAACGGGTATGTGGGAAGGTCTTGAACGATCTTTGGTGGCTTCCGCGACCTGTCGAATAGTGCGATGTAGCTGGCTATATCTATTGAATCTGGCCCTAAATGAGTCCAGAAAGCCCCGATCGCTTTGGCGAATGATTCGATACCGTCTTGGCTACGGTTCAGTAGTCCGACGTAGGGAATCTCCAAAGGGAAGAGATCCGTGATCGTCTGTTGTGCCGGGCCTTTGAGAGCCGGATGCGGCCCGACCTCGACGACCAGATCAGGGCGCACATCGTCACTGCTGGAGCGTAAAGCTGCCTCCAAGGCTGATGAAAACAAGACAGAGTTGACCATGTTGTCCTTCCAGTAGTCCCTGGTCATACTGTACCCGTATTGCTCCGGCGTGATCTCCTGTCCTTCATATACGCTTGAATACCACCGTGACGACATGTGGGAGCGAATTTGGATCTTTGCTGCATCTAAAGCTCGCAGGTAAGCTTCTGCGCAGGAAGCCATGTGATGGGAATGGTACGCAGTGTGGACACGGAGAAGCCGCGCGAACTTCATCGCTTTTAGGAGTGCCTGTTCAGCCTGCGATATGGCATCACGGTCACCGGAGAGTGTGACACTGGACAGAGAGTTTACTGCCGCCAAGGTGATTTTGCCATCAAGTCCGGCTCTCTGGCAGAGAGCGGTGGCCTCCTCTTGAGAGATTCCAGCCGCCAGCATTGCTCCCTCTCCAGCCAGCCCCGCGACGTGACCTCGCAAGTAGGCGACTCGGATGGCGTCAGCCGATGACAAGAGTCCAGTAGCGTATGCCCCCGCAATTTCACCGGAGGAATGCCCAACGACTACAGCAGGGGAAATACCCAAAGCAGAAAGGACATTGACAAGAATGATCTGGAGTGCTGTGCATAATGGTTGTGAGATTGCGGCCTCATGCAGCTTGGAATGAGCCTGAGCTGCAGCCAGTTCTTCTTGGAGGGAAAAGCCTGGTCGGAGCTCGACAGGGAGGTCGGTGAGCGATCTCTCCATCTCCTCGAACCAGATTCTGGCCTCTGGGCAGTGAGTAATAAGGTCCAGTCCCATCTGCGGCCACTGTGCGCCTTGTCCAGTAAAAATACCCAGGATGCGTTGCTTCCGATCTGTATGCGGCTGGGAGCTTACGATGGACGACGGCCTTTTGGCCTTGATGAGGTCAAACTCTTCGCGGATTCTTGTGATTAAGAGATCTATTGTAGGTGCCCAGAGGGCGATACGGTGTACCAAGAAGGAACGTCGCTGTAGTAAGGTCCATGCCAAGTCCACCAGGTCGACCATGTGATTGTCTTCGAGATATTGAATGAACTGTTCCAGCATGGCAGCAAGCGCTCGCACGGAAGACGAGGAGAAGACAAATGGCAGTACGACAGGGATTGGAGCTTTAGGCGATAGTTGGGCGGGCTTGCCTGTTGCATTTATGCTGTCCTCATAGCTCTCAAGAATCGCATGCGCATTAGTGCCGCCAAAACCAAATGAGTTGACAGACACGCGGCGTGGCACCCCGGGCTTCAGAGCTGGCCATGGCATAGCCTTGACTGGGACCTTTAGGCGGGCGGAAAATGGTTCAAGCTGTGGGTTAAGCTGGTCGAACAAAAGGTTGGGTGGGATTACTCCATGCTGAATGCACAATGAAGCCTTGACAATGCCTGCTAAGCCGGCTGTGCCTTCAGTATGGCCAATCACTGTTTTGATTGATCCCACAAACAGTTTCTCAGTCTCGCCATGTTGCTGCTGTGATGGTAAATCTCCAAAGAAAGCATGATAGATGGCTGAGGCCTCTTGGGGATCGCCGGCCGGAGTCCCGGTTCCATGGGCCTCGAAATACTGGCATCGATCCTCGGCACGGTGCTTTGGGTCCAGGTCGACCATCTGGTAGACGGACCGGATTAGATCCAGTTGTGCTTTACCAGACGGCATCGTGAGGCCCGTTGTTCGGCCGTCTTGGTTCACACATGTGGCTCGGATCACGCATTCAATCGGGTCACCTGCGGCAATTGCATCGCTCAGGCGTTTCAAAACAATAGACGCAATGCCTTCGCCACGGGCATAGCCATCAGCCTTTGCATCCCACATGCGGCCGCGGCCAGTGGGAGACAGCATTTGAAGCTTCGACGTCGAAACAAAGACGTTGGGGTGCAGCAGAAGGTTTGTTCCCGCCACTACCGCTGTGGAACATTCTCCCTGGCGTAGAGCCGTCACGGCCTGATGCAAGGCAACCAGACTTGAGGAGCAAGCGGTATCTACCACAAGGGATGGGCCGTGCCAATCAAAGAAGTACGAGACTCGGTTCGCGATGTTGGCCCGCGCCAGTCCGGTGATGGTATAGCGGGGGCATACTTGATCGTCAATTTCCACGCGAGTCGCCCAGTCTGCCATCATCACACCACAGAATACACCTGTGGAGGAGCCCCTAAGAGTGTCGAGCCGCTGCCCGGCCCTCTCCAGGGACTCGTAGACGGTCTCTAGCAAGAGCCGTTGCTGAGGGTCCATGGCTTCGGCCTCGCTGGCGGAGATATTGAAGAACGAGGCATCGAACATGCGAATGTCCTCGGACAGGAAGTAGGACTCCTTGGTGTTGGTGGTCCCATGATGATTGCCATCCGGATGGTAGTAGGATCTTCCGTTGAAGCGAGAAGAAGGTGGCTCAGATGCTACCGTTTCCGGGTTGCAAAGTAGATTCCATAACCTGGATGGCGAGGAAGATGATCCCGGAAATTTGCATCCGGTTCCAACAAGGGCAATAGGCTCAAGGACCATTTTTCAATTGAATCGTGGAGGCAGAATGAGGGAGATTCTCAAGTTCTCAACCAGAATTGTCCCTTCCAGGACATGGATTTTATTCTGCAATTCCAAGGCATAAGCGCGGGGATGATCAACGTGAGAATAGTACGCGTGATATGCAACTAACTTTATCTCCAATAGCTATCTCCATTATGGTTGGATGAGTGGCCGTGCCTACTCTGGGTGACCCCGTTGGTTTTGTTAGTACTGGGGGCCTTGCAGGAGTGTATCAACATGTCCTCAGCCTGGGTCTGTGGACGACTAGTAAACCCCTATGGTGCCAGCAATGCAGCGTCCGAAGTGTTGGTCAGGCAGTATGAAAAAAGGGGAAATTACTACCGACACTGGTAGGATGATCTGTGGAACACCTTCAAAATCCAGATTAAGCAGAAAGTTAGAATGCGTTTGTGTAAGCCTGGAAGAGAGAACAGTAAAATAAGCAAAAACACATAATACTCTAATCATATTGGCTACATCCTGGCTAATACACACAGGCAGTAGATGATCCTTTCGGCTAGGATCGTCACAGTAGACTAGAATATAAGCAAGTGCCCTGTCAGACAGTGAATCAGCTTTCTAGAACCCTAGTCTAGAGGCTACAGCCCACAGACTTGGCTGTCCATAGAGATGCTGTGATTCTGACTCAGTGGGTCAGGTTCTAACAAAGAAAAACCAGGTCTTGAGTCATCCTGCGGGGAAAGATGCTTACGACAGTATTTATTAACTCATAACAGCACCAACATCCCTCATCCTGCCTGGCTCGTTCGATTTCTCTCTTCTGGAGCAGCAATATGTCGACGACCACCGTTGAGCTTGCTTTGCAAGAACAACAAGAGTCACAGAGCCCAGTCCACCCATTTGGTCCGAGTGCTGACGATGCAATCGTCCAAGAAAAGCAAAAATGGAATGACCCTCCCATCAACAAATGGCGCCTTTTAGCCACCTTCGCCAGTTTCGCGGTTGTAGGAGCGAGCGATGGTGTCTACGGAGTGAGCTCTCCCTGCACAGAGACACCATACTGACTAATGATCTTTCTCCCAGGCGCTCGTCCCATATGTATGCGTGAATTAAAGTCCATTCCATTGCTTCCGACAAACTGACACAGAGTAGTTTCGCGAAGACTATAAGCTGTCTACCACCGTGGTCTCGTTGATTTTCGTGACCCCGTTTGCCGGATACACGATGGCCACCCTCATTGTCAACAAGATTCATATGACATTTGGGCAGCGAGGGATTGCGACCATCGGTCCCCTATGCCATATCATTCCGTTCGTGGTAATGGCTATCCACCCGCCATGGCCGGTAATGTTGGCAGTCTATGTGATTGTCGGCTTGGGAAATGGCCTCATCGACGCTGCATGGAATTCTTGGATTGCCGACATGGCCAATGCAAACACGATGATGGGTTTCCTCCAGGCATTCTATGGCCTCGGGTACGTGGGTCATGTGTGATCGTCACAGCAATGCTGATGACCATCGCAGGGCGACGCTGAGCCCAACAATCGCGACGCAGATGATCAAGTCCGGCCTACGCTGGAACTATTTCTACTACACTCTGCTTGGTGGCTCTGTCCTCGAACTGCTAACCAGCGTGGCTATGTTCTGGAAAGAAAATGCGGATAGCTTCGGAGCCAAAAACCGCAAGAGTCCCGAGAGCAGTGGTGGAAGCAGAACTACAGAAGCGATGAAAAGCCCCATTACCTGGCTGATAGCCATCTGGCTGTTTGTGTACATGGGTGTTGAAGGTGCGTTATCTGATTTTTTAGAATGACGTGGTCACTAAATCTGACAGTGTCCGTGGGTGGCTGGGTCGTGGATTTCATGGTCCAGGTCCGCAATGGAGAGCCATTCGAATCTGGTCTGGTTCCCACCGGCTTCTGGGCTGGTGTCACCATCGGGCGTCTGGTACTCGGCTTCGTGAACGACTGGTTGGGCATGTATCCCCTCCACGCAGCCCGGTGCTTGAATACTGACGGAGAATGAAGGAGAGCGGATTGCTATCACTATCTACCTTGCTATTTCGATTGCCCTGGAGCTTGTGTTTTGGCTGGTCCCAAGGTTTGTGGTCTCTGCAGTTGCTGTCTCGCTGCTTGGCTTCTTTACTGGCCCCCTCTTTCCCGCAGCAATTGTAGTGGCGGCCAAGCTGCTCCCGAAGCATCTACATACTCCGGGCATTGGGCTCGCGTCGGCGTTGGCTGGCGGTGGTGGTGCGATGTAAGTTATCTCCTCGTCCACAATGCCTATGAACTGCTCTTTGAGCGACTGGCTAACATGTAAATCCCCATTGGGCGTAGACTGCCCTTTGTTGCTGGTGCTATATCTGGGGCGCGCAGAGTGCAAAGTCTGCAGCCTTTTATTCTCGCATTGTTGGTCCTCTTGATCATTATCTGGGTGTTACTTCCCCGGAATAAAGATCACTCTCACAGCATTTGAGGCAGTTATACAAGTGATGGATATGATCATATGATAAGCATGCAGTACGCCAAGGCATTGAAACGTAAAATCTGTCAGATATTGTATAGCACAGGCAATAGCAAAAGTTCAACTTAATAATCACGTCCGATCCAATATGACTAGACTGTAGATATTGTATAGCCCCGATGAGAGGCAACTGAAAAGAATGCTCACTTGGACACATCGCAAATCATCACCATATTATCTTCCCCAATCCACTCCCTCAAGGTCTCCTCGCTTGCGTCCCGCACCATAACATGGAAATGCTCCAGCGCCGACACGCTCTGCAACGCCGCCCAATTCTTGAACCACAACACGCGGTCCTCAGGCGCATCCACATGGATCTCTCTGGCCAACCGCTGCACAAAAGTAGCCGACACAAACGTCTCAATACGCGCGCGCGATTCGGCGGTCAGATTTCCGTCTTCCTGCACTGGAAACGGGATCTTCAGCCAGACGACCAGGTGCCGGATGCCAGGTCCAACCCCGTACGGCCAGTCGTTGAAGCGGATGCAATAGTCGGAGGGGCTTGCAAAGGGGATTGGATTCTTGAACGCGACATTGGAGTCATGCTGGTCCCAGCCGAGACGCCGCTGACAGATGTAGTTGAGGATGCCGCCGTACTGCTCTTTTATGCGCTTGGACCAGTTGATGTAGCGTCTGAGATGCGAGGGGAGCCGCTTGAAGAGTTCGAGTCTATTTTCCTCTAGTTTGTGCTCTAACCTTAGTGTCGTATTCCGCAAATTGAGACTGGTTACATACGGATTATCCTTTTCAGCTCGTCCCAGGAGTGTGGCTCGTATTCCTCGTCAGTCTGGCGAAGGAGCATGCGGTCTACTTCTGTAAGATTCCAGTCGGGAAGCTCTTGATCTTTTTCGGTGTTTGGAATTTCCGTCGCAGAGCCCATGATTGTGGTGGTAGAGTACTGTTGATAGATGCAGAAGGAGGGATGGATCCCTTGAATTTATTGGGCAGACGAGTCGGTCTCTCAATACCCTTGTCCGAATTACTAAACTAATTCAAACGTGTCACAGCGTTGTGCTTCACTATTCTCCTTGGCATGCAGCAACCAGGGAGGGATGTTCCAATCAGCGTCAACTGGTAGAGGTAGGCAATAGTGAGTAATATGAGCGTATTTTGGGCCATACAGCGCCTCGAGCTCCCTCCACAAGACTAAAGATTTCTCATACGTCGCTGCTCTTCTCGTATATCCCTTCACCCGCGCATCAATCTGTGACTGACTCAGGTGCCAATGTTCCATTCCAGATAGATGACGAAGTGCAGTAGTCCAGCCGATGTTGGAACTGGAACAGTGAAACAAGATGGACGGCACGAAAGAGAATGCAAATGGCCATAAACAGTTTTTGGGACAGCAAAGATCCCAGTCGAGAAGGGATACTGCTAGTGCGGTGTAGAGAATAGAAGAATTGGAACAGCTACGCTACCAAGAAGAATGGAAACCATTACGAATTCATTGTCATTGACAACCCCTGAAATGGTTATGGTCATGAGTAAGCCTTTCGCCGAGACTCCGTACATGCTGACGACGAAAAGGGAGGAGGCTTTAACTCGACGAAGACGAAGGAGCACCGACGTTTGGTCTGAACGCGCATGCGTACAGGTTTTCCAGTCTCCCTGTCCTCGCCCTTCTCCATCACCAAGGGCATGAATCGCGACCACGATATTCCCCGCAATGAGCGAGGCACCGTCGGGATGGCAGGCTCTTATAGAATTACGAGTCCAACGAACTAGGGCAAGAGACGGAGCAGTGTATCAGGTTTTGTGATGAGATTCTTTGCCAGTGTTAGTATTACTGGATAGATTAAACCAAATCGTTCCGTGACCGTGTGTTAACTCATGAACAGGACTACAGTATTTTTTTATACCGAACCTGCATCACGGTGGAGTACATGATAAAGTTAGCTGCAAAAGTGGTACTATTTAGAACAGCAGACAGAGTGTGAGGTTAGGTTAATGGCCCTAACTGACCTTACAGAACGCCGGTCCGCTGGACGGCACAATGACAGGTCATCGTTTTATGTAGCCTCTTAGTAGTTACCTTGCAATATGAATTTGCGAACACACCATGCTGATATTTAGCGCTTTCTCTACAGGCACTCGATACGGCGAGATTGACTGAGCCACCCAGTTCAAGGGCCCAGAAGCTTGTCCCCAGAGTGCGACATGATTGGCATGGGAGACACTGGAAAATTCATCTGGAAGCAGTGTCCAGGAGTTAGCTTATGTCACATTCAATAAGGTTAAGCTCTACCTACCAAGCCTTTCACTTTTCGTCTGTGTGAAGATCTAGACGTTCTGGTTGGCGGGAAAAACGAAGGTTACATATCATCTAAACGTGGCTTGCCAACAATGTAACTCAACATTCCGGCCTGGATTAGACCAGAATTACGAGGTAATAGTTGCTAAACATTAGTTACCCGTGTTTGATCAGCATTTTAGCATCGTGCCATGGACAGCCATCTTTGATGCGCCATCGGATTTTCCCCATGGCCCCTTGTCCGAGATCCGGTGTCATGAAGTAGCAGATTGCCAGACCCAAAGGTAGTCGCTACTCACTTCTGTGAAGCAACATACCGTGTGCATCCTATCTCTGATACAGGTTGGCGAAGGTCTCAGGGTGATCACCAATGGCTGCTCGTAGGCATCGTGAGGAATCTGCAAGGGTCTAACCACAGAGAACTGAATGTCTCAACTGGCTAGACGATCTATATGCCCCTTGTACGTGGTATTTCCAACTCAACCGTTTTCAGCGATTTGACCCTATTGAGTGGATCATCCGTATCTCGCGGCCCGCTGGAACTCGTCCCGATCCGGCAGCTTACTAGTACTACGCAAAAGCTGGGGAATTCCTAGAATCCTAGTTATTAAAAATATCTAGTTAAATAAGCTTAATTCTCTTATATTTCAAACACAAATATGTACCGTATCTTATATAGCCGTAGTCTAGGCCCTAGCACGGTTACAACTACGTAGGAAATGATTTCGCCGTTTGATAGGCTCAAGGTTGCAAAATGCCACATGGTTACATCGGCGCAGCTGTCGGATTCCTGGACCAAAGGACTCAAAGGCTCTTTCCCTGTTTGTCATATTTCAAGCCAAGGCACAGGCCGCTGCCATATGTCCCACTGCCCCAGGAAGACGTACCCATCGGTTGCCGCTGGTCCCTGGGTCGGATACTTCACCCGGTCAGTAAAGAGAAGGGATGAGAATGTATAGCTGGACTCTGACTGAGTTGGATGACGAGTAGACAATTGGTTAGCATCCACAAAAGCCGTAGTCCGACTACAACCACCAGGGCCAAGTACAGGGTTACTTACAGAGTTCAAGCCTATTAACTTTCCACCCCCTTGCCGGATTCGTAAGGTCTACAGTCATGAACCATCCATTAAGTGAATATGTCGGCAAGAAGTGCTATGGCTCCGCTGTTACCGCGCAAGTAGCGTACTTAACGAACCGTCGCATCTCAATATAGAACCCGTTCTCCTGTTGACTTCGTCGATTGACGTTTCTCTATACAAACTCATCTCTCGCAATGTTGCAAACGGAGGCGATTACAACAGAAGGGCTGCGAATTTGGGGCCAGGCCCCAGATGATCCCTTGCTTCCTAGAGTCAAGCAAGCGCTCGAGCTCTCTGGCCTTCACAGCAGAGAGCAGATGCACTCTGACGGACACTGGTGCGGCGAAGTGAGAACCAACGCAACAACCACCGCAGAGCATGTCCTGCTGTGCCAGGCTCTTGGCATTGACCTTGACGCGGACCGAGAAGCATTCATCTCCGGGTTTCGTTCCACGCAGGGTGCTGACGGCGGTTGGAGTCTCGTCCCCGACCATGCGGGTGATATCTCGGTGACAGTGGAGGCGTACCTTGCGTTGAAGATCCTGGGGGTCTCGGAGGACGATGCGGCAATGCGCAGCGCACGAGACTTTGCGATCACAGCCGGGGGTGTCGCCAGGGTCCGCATCTTTACCCGCATATACCTCGCCATGTTCGGCTTATTTCCTTGGGCTGCTGTACCGGAATTGCCTCCTGAGTTAATCCTGCTACCTTCAAGTGTACCGGTCAGTATCTATCACTGGTCAGCGTGGGCGCGGGCCACTGTGGTGCCTCTTCTGATTATCTCACACCATCGCCCAATCTATGCTCTTCCAGGTGGAAAGTCAACCTCAAGCAACTACCTGGATGAGCTGTGGTGCAACCCGAAGGATAAAATGGTAGCATACAATCATGATCAACCGACGGCGTGGAGATCCGACCCGTTCATGTTGCTCTTCACTTTGGCTGACTCGATCCTGCACCGCCTGAACGGGTTGAGATCTTTGAATCCCATTCGCCGCTTTGCACTTCGAAAGTGCGTCGACTGGATTCTGGAGCATCAAGAGGATATGGGAGACATTGGAGACATTATGCCGCCGCTCCACGGAGCGATCCTTGCCCTGAGCCTTGAAGCATACCCCCTGCATTCGGACCCAATCCGCAGGGGCCTCGAAGCCATTGAACGCTTCGCATATCGTGACAAGCAGGGGAAAAGAATCCAAACCATCGTCTCTGCATGCTGGGACACCAGCTTAATGCTTATTGCTCTCGGCGACGCAGGCATGGCGTCCAGCCCGTGGCTGACAAGCTCGTTGGGATGGCTGCAGCAACATCAGAGATTGGGCAACTACGGTGACTGGAAGGTGATCAACCCTGCGTTAAAGCCCGGCGGGTTTAGCTTCGGGTATTTCAACACCTGGTACCCTGATGCGGATGATACGGCATCCGCCGTTCTGGCAATGATTCGGCAGGACGAGCGGCTGGTTTGCTCTGCCTCCGTTTTGGATGCCCTGAATTGGCTTCTCGGGATGCAGAATACGGACGGCGGCTGGGGTGCATTTGATCGCGATAATAATAACCTCTTTCTGAACAAGATCCCGTTCAGCGATATGGAGGGGTTGTGCGATCCCTCCACTCCGGACGTCAGCGGCCACGTCCTTGAGGCCTTTGGAGTTTTCCTAGCAGTCAGTGCACGGCAGGGATTGCAGAAAGCAAATGTCGGTGTTCTCAGCGATCGCCTTGCGTCGGCCTCTCGACGAGCGATATGTTACTTGTCAGTCACGCAGGAACCATCTGGCGCCTGGTACGGGCGCTGGGGCTGCAACTACATCTACGGAACGAGTGCTGTCCTCTGCGCATTGGCGTACTTTGGCTCGAAGAGCGACACGATGTCCAATGCCAGGAGTGTAAAAGATGCAGTCAACCAAGCAATCCGATGGCTGGAGAGAGTTCAAAACCAAGACGGTGGCTGGGGCGAGACCGTCGATTCTTATAAATATCCTTCGCGAGGCGGGTATGGCCCGTCAACGGCATCGCAGACTGCCTGGGCGCTTATGGCTCTACTCCCATACATGCCACCGTCCACAGGGGCAATCCAACGGGGGGTGGAGTACCTTTTGCGGACGCAGACGAGGACTTCTTCTCAGGGAGCTACCTGGCACGAGAAGACTTATACCGGCACTGGATTCCCAAAGTTTTTCTACATAGGCTATTCGTTCTACTCTCATTACTTTCCCATGATGGCTCTCGGCCGGTACGCTTATCCATGCCCCGAGTGGCAGGAGAATTGGCGGCCGAAGAAAGAGTAAAATGATTCTAGATATACCTTCAACTCTGTCATTTTATCATTTATTTCTCAAAAGTATCCAGCTCAGATAATACAATTAAGGGGATCTCGCTGCTTTCATAGACTCGAAATGCTCAGTAGAGAGCGGGGCCGTTCTATATATATTTAATCATCACTACTATGGCCAGTCGCATCTAGTAATATGAACAGTATTGCTGTAGCATTGGAAACAAGCCAATCTACGATCTACGACTGCAGCACCCACCCTCTCGCCTCTTTCATTTGTGCATACCACTCCTTGACATACGGAAGCGACATATGCGGTCCGTAAGGCTCCAGCTCCCATTGCGGCCTCGGCGCAGGAAGCCCAGTCTCCTTCAGGCAAGACTCGGTCAATTCCTCGATCGTGCCTCCTCGATCATACTGCTGGGGCTTGCCCACTGCATGCCGAGCAGCCATCATACTCGTCCTCAAGGCTCTGGTTTCGGCTTCACGCACGCTCAGATCATCCGGATTCACAACCACACCGTAATTATCGTAGGCGCCCTGGATGGTCAGCAATCGGCGACGGACTTCTAGTGCCACCTTCTCGGCCGGTCGAGTCAATGGATCTCCGAGTTTACCGCCTCCCCATGTCACCCACTCGAGGAGGTCATCTGGCTCGACGCAGATGTGGTCGCATTTCGAGGGTAGGACTTCCACCGGCGGGTTTTCCTGGGACTTGGAGTATCGGTAGAGGACCTTCCGGGAACGTGAGCCCGATCTGCCGCCTCGGATCCCCCAGGGCTTCGTGAACCAGCGGTCATCGTGCAGACCGAACTCTCCTCGACACAGGAAGCGGTAGAGAGTGCGCTGTGCGTTGCCACCGCGGTAGAATCCCGGTCCGCCGCTGTCCGGGACGCTCTCGTTGGCTTCGATGCGCAGAGGATAGTTCCGCTCGATGATCTCAGTGGGAATCGATTTGATCGCTGGGAACAGGCAATGGCAGTCAAGGCCGTCGCCGGCGTTCCGTGCAGGAACGCCACCGAAGCCAATCTGGTATAACTGATACCACTCTCCGTCGGGTTTGTATCCAGAGTAGAAGAAGTGGGGAGAGTCGCTGAAGCCCGCGGCGGCGGCATAGACTGGGTTCCTCTGGCCGATAAGCGCTTGCATGACGTCCATTGTTCTACCCAGCAGATGAGTCCGGCAGGAAATCGGCGCTGGTCGGACGGGTTTCAGGACGCTGCCCTCGGGGATATAGATGTCAATGAGGTCGTGGAAGCCGTCGTTGATCACAGTGCCCGGTGCGGCTGCGGCGATCATGTAGTAGCCGATGAACATCTTGAACATGGTCTCCGAGAGATAGAAATTGATGCTGTGCTCGCTCTGGGGTGAGGTCCCACTCCAGTCAAACAGCAGTCTGTTCCCATCGATTTTCTTCATCGTACAGGTCAAGGCCCAGGGGCCGATGCCGTGACCATCGTCGTCAACGAAATCAGTGAACGTGCATGGCTTGTCGGTGAAATCGGTCTCGATGATCTGAGCCATCGCTGTGCGATTGCGCATGAGCAGTTCAGAGCAAGCCGCGAGATAGACCTCGCATCCAAACCGCAGGACGAGCTGACAGACACGGCTGGCGGCCGTCCGGCATGCGGTGATGATGGCAAACAAGTCCGCTCTGTACCAGTCGGGCTGTCGCGAGTTGCGACAGAGCAGCTCGACCAGGTCGGTGTTCATAACCCCCTTATTGTACAGTTTGATACACGGGATCTGGACGCCGTCGTCAAAGATGGATGACGCGTTGATGGACATACTGCCTGGGACCATTCCTCCGACGTCAGTCAAGTGCCCGAACTGCGACGCCCATCCGATCAGTCGGTGCTCATGGAAGATGGGCAGCAGGACGATCACGTCGTTCAAGTGTGTCACGGCTCCTTCAATCATGTATGTATCGTTGGTGATGAACACATCACCTTCGTCGATCGTGCCTTTCCAGACGCGCCCAGAAACTGGGTGATGAAGCTGCCAAACTGGCCGACAAGCATCTTGCCGTCGGCAGTGGTGATGACATTGAATTCATCCTGCTGCTCACGAATCGCAGGCGACATGCTACAACGCAGCATGAGGGTGTCCATTTCACTGCGAATTGAGGCCAAGGCAGACGCAACCAGCGTGGGGATCAGGGGCGTCGATTGGACCGTCTCCAAAGCCGCTTCTGCAGTCTGGCCTTTCGGCTGCTCTCTTGTCAGATCATCAGCTGGGCGTATCAGAATGTTTCCGATCGAGTCAATCTCGCCGTAACATCCGGGAAGGATCAGGGTGTTGCTGTCCATTTCGGTGATGATGCAGGGGCCATCCACCCGTACCCCTTGCCAGCTCAATTTTTCTCGATCCCACAGCGTGGCCTCCATCGTCCGTCCTTCGATGACGATCTGTTTCTTTGAGACTATTGCATCAGGCGGTGGTGCAGGTGATTCGGCCTTGCTGAGCCGGGGGAGCTCGATGCTGGGCGAACCGTCAACGGCAACGACCTCGAGGCGCATCAGTTCCAGCTCATAATTGGGAAGACAGTACTTGAACTGCTGTTCATGGAGCTGGTCAAATTTCGCCTGTAGGAGCTCTCGCCATGGCTGGTCTTCTAGTAGTAGCTCCTCCGCCTGCAGATCGACTGTCATATTCAATGCCTGGCCTCGGTACCTGAGATCCACATGATAGGCGATGTTCAGCTGTGTCGGACGGTCTGCGTTGGATCTTTGCATGGCTGCCCGGCTTGCCTCTTCGAGCTCATCAAATCGGCCCTTCAGCTCCTGCGCTGTTGTAGCGGAGAGTAGGCGGATGAAAGAGGATGACTGAGAGTAGCTCAGCCGAGTAGTCGCATCCCCCAGGGCGCACAGAGTACCTGGAGAGGGGGGAACAATGACTGGCCAAGCGCCGAGGAGCTTGCCCACAGCATTGGCATGAAGGGGCCCTGCACCTCCAAAAGCGACAAGAGCGAAATCCTTCGGGTCATAGCCTTGTTCGACCGACACGAGGCGCAGGGCTCCGTACATGGTCTCGTTCACGAGGTTGATAATGTCCTCGGCGGTCTGGGTAACCGACAGCTTCATCTGGTTAGCGATGTTCCCGACCGCGGCCGTTGCAGCCTCCACGTCCAGAGTAAATTCGCCTCCCAAGAGGTTCTCGGGCAGGTATCCGAGCACAAGGTTGGCATCCGTGACGGTGGCTTCAGTCCCTCCCTTGCGGTAGCATGCGGGTCCCGGGCTGGCCCCTGCGCTCTCCGGACCAACTCTCATGGTTTCAGTGATGCTCATGTATTTCGCAATGGAGCCGCCTCCTGCTCCCACGGTCCGGATGTCCACGGCGGGCGAGCGAACGGTGAGTTGGCCGACCACGGTCTCGCGGCGAAGCTGAGGCTTCCCTTGGTTGATCAGCGCGCAGTCCGTCGACGTGCCGCCCATGTCGAAGGTGATCAGGTTCTTATACGGAGTGTTTCGCGTGACGACGTCGGCGACCCCTTGTACTCCTCCAGCGGGACCGGACATCAGAATATTGACGGGCAGCTGGCCCGCCAGCTCCAAGCTCGTCAGACCGCCGTCCGACTTGAGGATGCGGATTGTATCTCCATCCTCCGCCAGTAGGCCCTGCAGGTTACTGAGATAGCTCTGAACCACGGGTTTGACAAGTGCATTGGTGCAGGTGGTCACTGTGCGCTCGTACTCGCCTACTTCTCTGAGAACGTCGCTGGAGCAGATCACAGTCACATCCGATCCGAGCTCCTCGCGTACGACATTCGCCACCAAAATTTCGTGCTGGCTGTTGCAGTGCGAGTTGAGCAATGATATCGCCACAGCCTCGGGCCGTTCCTTCACCCAGGCCTTTAGATCATCACGAAGCGCATCCGTATCCACGGCGACAACCGTCTTGCCATCCACCGACATGCGCTCCCGACACTGGATCACACGCTCCAGGGGCACGATCGGCTCCGGCGGAGTATAGTGCAGCCAGGCACCCAGACCACCGGGTATCTGGGACCGGCGAACCGCCAGAATGTCTTTGTGCCCTGAAGTCACGATCAGGCCGGTCCGTGCTCCTTTGCCTTCGAGGACCGCGTTAGTGGCGGTGGTAGTGCCATGGTGGATGAATTGGAACTTCCCGTCCCATGAGTAGCGTTCTTTGAGAGTTTGGTGCACCTTCTGGATTCCGGTCTTGACCCCAATGCTTTGATCTTCAACTGTGGTCGGAACCTTGGCTCTTGCGATCTGGCCGTCGGGCGTGAAGGCGTAGACGTCTGTGAAGGTGCCGCCAACGTCCACTCCGAGACGGTATCCGTCTTGGTTGGCGCTATGTGGCATGATAGGCGAAAAGGAACTTACGGAGAGAGAAGCAACTGTGACCGGTGCCAGAGGAGTTTATCTCATCTCAGTACGGACTGAATGTATATCTCAACTCCAAGAGCGAGAAACTATCCCAATGACCAAATCCGGGTAACCGAATTGAACATGCAACAGGATTCGCAGGCTGGGAATGCCCCTCTTCCAACAGGAAGGAAAGCAGAGCAATCCCCTACAAATTCAGAAAGAATCATAACCTAGGCAGCACGGAAAATTTCACAGGCGCATAGCTGGGATCGTCCCGCCCAGCGCCCTAATGCACATGCTAACGGTTTAGTTCATGCAACCTTTCAGATAGTGCTATGCGCGGCTGTGTTTTAGTGGCCAATACCCCTTCCCACCGATTTAGCGACGAATATCCTGGTCAAATTCATAATCCTGCGCCAAGGGCATTGCCCAGATAATCGCCATGCATAGTCTCTCAGCCATAAGGTTCTCTGTGGCCTTGGGCAAGTGCCACTGGATAGCGAGCAATAATTGACCATTCTGATGATGAATTGGCATCTTGGACATACCGCTAAGTGGGTCGGAGGATGAGCTGTGCTCTCGAGGGAGGACACGCTATCACAGAATCCCAAGCTCGGGGATTTGGGTAAAGGATCGACCCTGTTTATAAAAGCTCCCTTCTCTAGCTTGGGGAAAAGCAAAAAGAAGGGGAAAAAAACGAGACAACACTAAAGTAAGCCGCCGGTATCGCCATGCTAAACAAACAGCAGGCAGAGGCCCATGGGGCGTATGACTCTGAACAAGCAAGCCCTCGCGCGGTGGCATTCGACGAGGAAGGGGAGGTTTTCAAGAAGACTGCTTCTGGGGTCAACTTCCGCCAGGTGGGTTGGTTCAACGCGACCGTGATCTTCATCAAGATCCTTTTCGCAACAGGGGTGCTCTCGCTGCCGTCGGCGCTGTATTCGCTGGGAGCCGTGGGGGGCTCGATCAGCATTGTGGCCTGGGGATGCTTCAACACGTACTGTTTTGTCATCCTCGGGAACTTTCGCATGAGACACCCTCACTGCCACTCGATTGCCGACATGGCCCAGGTGGCCGGGGGCGTGGTGGCCAGGGAGGTGACCGGCCTGTTGTTCATCATTGGCTATGTGCTGGTAACGGGCAGCGGCATCGTGGGCGTGTCAACGGCGCTGAATGCCCTCTCGCACCACGGAGCCTGCACCGTCTGGTGGTCATTTCTGGCCGCCGTGGTGATCACCGCAACGGCCTCCATCCGCAAACTTGAGCACGTCGGTTGGTTGACCTACGCAGGATTCCTGTCCATTTACGCCGCCGTGCTCATTGTGGTGATCGGAGTGACCACGCGAGACCGGCCAGCCGCTGCACCACAGGAAGGCCCGTACGAGCTGGGCTTCGTCGCCATTAACAACCCAGGCTTTGCCGCCGGCATGGTCGCCTCCTGTACCATTTTTGTCTCCTCAGCCGGTACCAGTGCCTTCCTGCCGGTCATCTCCGAGATGCGGAACCCGAAAGACTACAAGAAGCCGCTGTATGTCTGTATGGCGCTGGTCACCGCATCGTACCTCGCCTTTAGTTTGGTCGTCTATCGCTGGTGTGGGAAGTGGGTGGCGAGCCCATCGCTGGGGGTGCGTATCAGTTGCTCTCCAACCTTTTGTTCATGTGCTTGGGCAGTCGTTAACAGCTACGTATAGAGTGCTGGACCAACGATCAAGATGGTGTCGTATGGTGTTGCCTTGATTGGACTGATCGTGAGCGGCACCCTCTATCTGCATGTAAGAGTCCCCAGATACTGCCCCCGCATGGTTCGGTCGTAGCTTAACCGGCGCTCGTGTAGATCGCTGCAAAGTACGTCTTCGTCCGGATCCTCGGGAATTCGCGCCATTTGCAGGCCAACACCATCGTTCATTGGGGCACCTGGTTCGCCAGTACGATCATCCTCGGCGCGCTAGCGTTTATTCTGGCGGAGGCGATCCCGATCTTCAATTACCTCATTGCGCTCGTGGGATCGGTGTGTTTTGCCCCTCTGGCCATGAGCCTGCCAGGTTGGTTATGGTTGTACGACCACGGCCACTACAGGAAGGGAACGTTGATCCAGAGGGTCGCGTACCTGCTGCATTGCGGCCTGGTGATTCTGGGGCTCTTCTTCCTAGTTGGGGCGACGTACGGCGCTGTTGTCCAGATCGTCGACGCATATAGCTCCGGAGCAATAGGTACGTGTCCCAGATTTGCCAGCCATGGGATTACTGTTGACATCATCTGGTAGGATCGGCATTCAGTTGTCGCGATAACTCGAATTCGTCTTGACCGGGTCAAAAACTACTTGCGACGCACCCGGGGGCGTAGAAGGCTGCTTAAGATCTCGCTTGAAGGTTTGCACGTGCTCTCTAGCTGTGTCTTCTACTTAAATACACTCTTTTATGGACAAGGCATTTGTTATGGTGTATTAGTTGAGTATATGACCTGTTTTAGCCCTATTCTTGTAGACAGTCTGTCTAGTGGGCCTGATGCACAGCCCCTGGGAAGCCTTGGTATTATAGAATATTAAATAGCTACTTCTAGCCATTACCTATACCGCTGGGGTTGGGAGCCGTGCCCCTTAAGAGGTTTCTATGTTTATATCTACTTACCTCATATTCATGCGCGCGGCCTGTAATCTGTTCTTGAAGTTCAAGGAGTTCCCTTGCTAGCAGCAAACGGCGCAATTGCAGGTCTAACAAGTCCGTATGCACTCACAGCTTTCGTTGCGCTTCCTCTAATGGCGCTAGGTGTTGGTATCCCCCATCTGGACTGTCAGACCCACCGGAAGGCAGCAAGTTAACCATCCTGGCAGGCCATGTGGACCTCGGTTGCGCTGCAATCTAGCTAATAATTGCATCTGGCTCAAGGGAGATACCAAGAACGACCAGTCTGTTTGTTAGTGGCTGTCGGGCTCTTTCCGTGAAGATCGATACCTTCTAAGGACTTTTGCGCTTCTAGGATCTAGCTCCTGGGCTGCCGGAGGGGGCCTCCGCCCGTGCCGTCATTAATCTAGTGCTCTTGGCTGCCAGGGATGTTTGATGAACTCGGCGATCAGTCTACTACTAGCTAATCGAAGACAGGGGACTAAAGTGGCGGTGGAGCTGGCGCGTTGACGGTGCCACTACCGAAAACGTATACACACTCTTGATCTGGTGGAAGGGAGATAATCCCAGACTCGTGGTTGCGTTTTGTGTCCCCTGTTCAGGGCATGAAACACAATGGACAACCCTGTACCTTTGGATTCCCTTGTCATTTCTTCCTTCTTGTACGTTCGGTCGTCTATCCATTTCCTGTTCTTATGAGTTCCTACTCTTTCTCAATGACTGTGCTGCCCGAGTCTTACGCACAGATTCTTCCCTGAACCTTTTTCGCACCACTCCGGCGGTTAGAGAGACGACTACTCGCTATCTACGGCCTCGTTTGCTGGCCCCAGATGTCCGAAGAACCGGTGATCCCGCCACCACCTGGGGCCGTGTCGAATTTGGCACATCCTCAGGACAGTCCTCCATACGGTGAATCTAGCAACTCAAGTGTTGTGTATGATCGTTGTGACTACGACGGTGCTGTTGTGTATTTTTATCAGTGCGCACCTTCGGAAGAGCTTGGAACTAGAGGACTGTAAGTCGACCACTATGATGCCTGATCGATGCTAAATAGTGACTTGCCATTGTCTCCACAGATATGACCATTACAGGATGGGTATGACCCTCGACCATTTGTCTTGAATTTGCTGTATTTATATCCATGCCGCTGACAGGTACTGTTCGTTGGGTTTTGCGCCAACATGCTTGTGCCGTTGTGTGTACGTATAGCCAAAAGAAAAAAAGCTGGTGAACCATATTGGCGGAGACAGTTAATGCCTATGGTGGTGGATATCATGCCTAGGATATTCCTGAGAGTAAATTCGTCGATTTCCAAAAGGTAGACCACGCAGCAGACAGAAACCCCAGCAACTGCTAATGACGACTCGAGTCAAGGCCTCGTACGCGCTCACGCTCATCTACGTTCCGATGGTGTTTGTCGTCAAGCTGGCCCTGCTCTCCGTGATGCTCCGGATCTTCGCCCCGGACCGGTACAAGGTCATGATCATCTACGTGAGCATCATCGTCCTCCTGCTCTACTACATCCCGGCCTTATTTATCAAGATCTTCTTCTGCAAGCCGATTTCCGCATATTGGTACGGCACCAGCAACGGGGGCACCTGTATCGACCAACAGAAGGTCATCATAGCCGACTCGGCCATCAGCATTGCCAGCGACCTTTGGATCCTCATTCTTCCAGTGCCGATGCTGTGGTCGCTACAGATGTCGACAACCAAGAAACTGCGGGTCATCGGCATTCTGGGGGCCGGAGGACTCGCCACTGCATTTAGTATCTGGCGCTTGGTCATTATGGTCAGGGAGGCTCGGACAGCGGACACAACATGGTTTTGGATTCACTGCGTGTTGACAGCATATGTGGAATGTCCTTCTTCCCTGTTAACGCGACTGATGATGTCTTAGCAATGCGGAAGCGGGCATTGAACTGATCTGTGCATGTCTGCCTGTTTTGAGCTCGTATGTCGTCTTTATGAAGAACAAGAGCAGAAAGGCCACGCACGGCAGTTACCAGCGCAGTCACGAGCTCAGCAGCTGGAACAAACTCTCCAGCTCAAAGAGGAGCGCCAATCACGACCCCTTGCTCCTGACACAGACGGACCAGGCTTCTGCAAGGATAACGGAAACATTCGCAGTCATTTATATTTATATCCATTTAGCCATTTCACACTAGTCATCAACAATTCCCTCATTGCGGGGTTATTCCTGCCAAGCATTACATTAGCCAAACTAGGGGTTGGTGCGCCAGAACTTCTCCATCTGCTTAAACAGTGTAAATCTATACACAACCCATGTAGTTTGTCGTCCTTCCCATTATACCCAGTACTGCTAGCAGGCCATTTGGGAGAAAAACCCTGGAAACAAACATGGCTTTAGTTCTAGATTTCAATCTTTCTTCCCTTTGACATATACCTACTGCTCATGGTCTAACATGTTTATAGACAATTAATATTTTTATATATAATTTATAGTGATTCTCATCAAATAGCCTATATCTAAAATATCAATTCGATATCTAGAGGGTTGAATGAGTGGGGTTAATAATCATTAACAATAATGGGTGTTAAGGGTTGGTTATATATATATACAAGGTCTTTTGCCACACATTCTGTGTGGCTTAATCCCTTGCCAGAGCCTATTACTAAGTATATATGGCCTGAACCTTAAGGCAGATATAACTAAGGCTTTAACACCTTTTTATAGTTTAATACCTATTATAACTAACCTAATACTAAATTATTACTATTCCCTAAAGCTTAACTACCCTAGATCTATAGCACCTTATAATTAAGACTAGATGCTGCCTGACTAGATAACCTCCTAGAGCCTCTCCCTAGACTTCTAATAGTTTTACAGCACAGGATAATAATCCCTAGGATGGTCTATCTACCTAACTATATCTAGGTAACTAATCTTTACTACCTATTACTAATAAAGCTACTGTTTATACATTCTTTATAGAAGTTATATATATTAGCCTATAGGTATACTCTAGTCTATCTTAGAAAGGGTCCTTCTTACTTCTACTAATAGTCTACCTTAGTCTTCTTTAAGTATATGCTGTACCTTATTATATAGTAGTGCCTTTACTTATGCTAGTAGATTATAGCTATAGTTAGGGTGGTTATTTTCACGGGTTGGGCCGGGTTCCCCTATCTTTAGAACCCAACCCACCGGGTTCGGGTTCTAGATTTCTAGGGCCCAAACCCCCAGCCCATAACCCGCGGGTTCTAGGGTAGTGAACCCAAATAGAACCCAAAGAGCCCAAAAATCACTCTCTGCCTGCCTAATCTAGTTAGTATGTATTTAATTTTTCAATACCATACTAGTATCTAGTATATATATATATATATAATATGATTATATATATAAATATAGCATATTAGTATAGAATCTAATGTATTCTAATTACTAGGTATTATAATTAAAACCCATTTTTAGAACCCGAACCCTAGATGGGTTCTAATTCTAGAACCCAACCGGCCCATGGGCCCTAGAACCTGAACCCGAACCCGGCCCATGGCGGGTTCGGGCCGGTTTGGGTTCGGGTTCTTGGGTTGGGTTTAACCACTCTAGCTATAGTTAGATGAAGGACCTGGCCTAGGACTAGGTATAATATATATAGGTGCTAGTAGTAGGAGTCCCTTCTCCTAATATCTTCTAGCCTAGTATATTACTAATAGATACTATAGCAGTAAGCCTGGCATGGATGTATATATATAGATTTATAGGGCTAACTCCCTATGCTAGGCTACTCTTAGTATTATACTATTTTTTTCTATCCTATCTACTATAGCTACCTTACTAGTTAACTAACTAACTTATGCTCCCACCATCCTATCTAGCAGAGCTGGGTATTTAGAGGGGGGGCATGACTTAATAGTCTAAAACTACTATTAAGATAGATATAAGTGCCCTGTACTAAAGCCTATAGAATACTAAATCTAAGTATATAGTAACTAATCTATCCCTTCTACTTAGTGCCCTACCACCTACTTCTGCTTCTTAGATACCTCCTTTATAATAAAGTCATCTGCAGAAGAATAATTATTAGTATTATCTAATCTAGTACTATCTAATAAGTCTAAGTTATTACTTAAAGATAAAGAATTATTACTATTAGACTTAGATACTATACTATTACTATCTAACTCTAATATTACAGAGCTGAAGGCTCCAGGCAGGGAAGAATATAGGGGATATAGAGGTTAGGATAAAGGGGGAGTAGTACTAGTAATAATAGACTTAGTAGTATAGATTAGAGCTAATAATACTAAATCCTAGGAGGCTACTAGTAGAATAGAATTATTAGCTACCTAGCTAGGCATGTCCTTACTAATAACCTTATAGTAATACTTCTAGGGGATAGTATCTAGTATAGATGGCTGCACTATTAGTATCTTATATAGAATAAATAATATAGCTATAGTATAGATATAAGGATACTCCTTCCTACTAATTAGGAATATACTAATTAGATCACTAGATACCTATATAATATAGCTAGTATTAAGGACTAAGAAACCCTTTAATATACTCCTTAGGCTAATAATAACTATAATTTAGAAGGTGGTATACTAGTTAGCACACCCTTAATTAGAGTATCTATACTACTAGGTGCCTTACTGCTATAGTTATACACTATTAGTTATATATATAGCATCTAATAATTACTAATAGCTAGCTACTTGTGGATAACTAATATAATAAATAATAGGGATAGCTGCACTATTAGTAGTATATAATCTTTATAGGCAGGGGAATCTAGGTCACTAGACATCCTATTATAGAATAATAAATCAGCACCTATATAATTATATATATTAGATAGAGGAATATTACAGTGTTAGATGCTCCACTTAGATAGTTAAGACTAGGTGGCCTTAATCCACCATCTTTACTAATAGATAGCCCTGGCAGAACATGATGGCACTACTGAGAAAGGATATACAGAACTAATTATAGTACTCCACCATAATTAGAATGCTATCTATATTAATAATAAGGCCAGGCAGCACATCCCTAGGGCCTAGAGTTGCATTTGGTGCAAGTTTGGGTGAGTTTAAAACCAGTTGGCACTGAACCGCTGCGATTTTGAGTTTAAATTTTAGAACCCATAGCTAACCCAGATCCAATCTGGGTTAGTGGCAGTTTCACTGTAAAAACCCACTACTAGGCCTAGCTAGGCCTAGCTAGGCCCCTACTAACTAACTATGGTTAGATTTAGTTTAATTTCAAGTTGGTTAAACTACTACCCCTTGGTGAATTTTAATGGTTTTTGAATTTTAATGCCTTATTAAATACCATATTATCTATCATAATATCACCATGCTAATTAAAAATTATTATTTTTATATGAAATATATCATAATTATCATCATACTAATCTATATCTAAAATTTTAATTCAATATCTATAGGGCTGAATGGGGGGTGGTTAAAAAATCATTTTTAAACTATAGTAGTTATTAACTATTAATTATATATATATATATATCCACACCACTTTCATACCACCCTATGACAAAAATGATTATTCCTCTATATCTCAGCAACCACTAGGTATTTTAAATTAATATTTATATCACTAGATAGCCCCTGATCCAGGCTATCTAGTGATATCAAAATTATTAGTGAAATACTAGAAATTAGTGATTTCTATCTAAAATAGATTAGGTGGTTTCACCTAATCCATAAAAACTGCAGAAATTAAAACTAATAGTTTTCACTAAACCTGAATTAGGCCTGGGGTAGGGAACTTGAACCTGAAGTAATTCCCTAGGCTAGGCCCTGAGCCCAACCCACTGTGGGTTTAGTGAGGGTTGGATTTGATTTTTGCAGTTCGGTTATGCAACTCTACTAGGGCCCTAAGTAGATGCCTGTAAAGATAGTAATATTATTAGGGGGTCCTAAGGCACAGCATTAATAGTAAGGAGGCCAGAGAAAAAGTAATAGGTATGGTTAGGGGTTAATATAATAAAGATATATTAATAGAGAATGGGGGAATAGGTAATAGAAGATAGAAGATAAATATAGATAAAGAAGATAAGTTAGATAGATAAAGGGGGTATAGTATATATATATATTTTTTTATTAGAGGAAAGTATACCTAATCCACCATCCACAGATTAACTAAGTACTAATATAATATATCTAAATAGGCAGGAACTGTTAGACGCAGCAAACCTGTACATAGCTAAACTGCAGGGATTATATATATGGCACATGACCCACAGAGATATTATTAACTACTAAGGTGTGAGATACTTACACCTTAGTAATTAGTTCTACTATAAAGGTATTACTACTACTATATTATCTACTATTTAATAAGAAGTATTCTATAGGTGCTCTTATAGTTTTAATTACTCTACTATATTAAGATAACCTAGTAGGAGTACTTTTATATATTTTACTAAAGTAAGATAGTTTCTACTAAAAGTACCCCTAATGCAGGATAATTATAATCTAATAATATAAATATATATATAAATTAATATAGAGGTAGTACTCTAACTACTCTAGAATATAGTAATATTACTAGGTAGAGATTCCCTTAATTTTTAAGAGAAGATTTCCTAGCTATATAGAGATAGGTTACTAAACTAGAGTAGATTAAATATAATAATAAGATACTTAAAAAGCTTAGTAAAACTATTATATATATATAATAAATATAGGGTATATAAGACTAGACTATTACCCTATCTATATAAATTATTTAGGGTAAACCTAAGTAAAATATACCTAATAAACTAATAACTATAAGTAATAAGATATAGATATCTCTTAGAACTAGATCTATATTACCTATAGTATATATAAATAATAATAATACTAAACTACCTACCTATAATAATAATAAGTAAGATAACTTATTAGATATAGGTCCTAAATTAGTACTAA